TTGTAAAGTGATTATATTGTTTGTATATTTGTTCCTGCAGCTGCACTGATGTAAATGAGTGTGAACAGACGTGTGAATGATCCACATTTACACATATAATTCATAACCGTGAGGCGCAGCGTTTGACGGCTAAAGGCTGATAGTGGTAGTTTACTTTCTTTACTCGCTGTTAGAATGTGATGATGTAAAAATGTCATTACTGCGACCGACCGACTGTAAATATGACGTAAAGACGCAGAAGAACAAGAAATGTTTCCTAAATAAACACAATTTAAATTCCACTAGAGCCAAATCGAAGTTTTTTAAACAATTGAAGATTTACAGCATAGGTATCAAACATACGGCCCGGGGGCCAGATCCGGCCCTCCAAGACCTTTAATCTGGCCTTGTTATTTCTTGGGGTTTATATGACATGAGTTTTCTGATCCGACCCCCAGAACAAAATGAGTTTGACTCTCCTGATTTACAGTGAATTTTTACATCACTAAATATATCGGTGATTATATCGGCAGCTCCAACTCTCATTTTATCAGTATCGTATCGGTCAGTCTCTACTAGGGACGCTACAGTACTGGATATAATACGGTATCGATCCTGGTCCTGATTGGATCGTCCACTCGTGTCTGTGAGTGATTTGACTTTGTCCAGATGTTTCGTCCTCAGACGCAGAAACAGAGACTCACAGATGAAACATTCAAACAGACGAGGGTTCGATCTTTACTCACGTTTGATTTTTCCTTCACAGACGCAGAAACAACAAAGATTCACCTTTAAACACTTCAGATTCATGGTGATAAACACTTCCTCTTTTACTCACACTCGTCTCAGAGGTTTGAGTCAGAACATGTTGTGGGAGGAGCCTCGTACCGTCTCAATGAAGAAAAATGAACTAAACACAAGCTCTACTCTCATGTTTTTTGTGAGTATTGTGTGTAATGTTTCATTAACCGCTGGCGTGGGGCCCCTGGCGTCTGGCGTGGGGCCCCTGGCGTGGGGCCCCTGGCGTCTCTTCGCTCGTGTTGCACTTCAGCCTCATTAGTGGTTTTACGAGCTCAGAGTTTGGAGCTCAGACCTCAGGACCGACGCCTCCTCCTGGACCGGGGCCTCCTGCCAACAGGACGTCACACTGGGGGGGGGGGGGGTTCTACATGTGCTTCTACTGACAGAAAGTTCAGCAGTTTCCAAAAAAAAAAGGTTTTAAGTTTGTGTTTTTTCTTCACGTCTCTGTGGTCTGAACGTTCATGATGTTCAGGAGTTTGAGCTTCGTTTTAACACCTTCAGAGTAAAACCAGCGGTGGAGGCGGAGTCTGTTACGTCTCCAAACGCTCTGATCCACCTCGTGATGTCATCAAGTGTTTCCTTTTCCCTTTAGTTCAGTCGAGATCAAAAACTCCAGGACTGAAAATAAAAACTGATCCAGATGTTTCTCGTGAAGTGAAGTGTGGAGTTTAAAAACACAGTGGAGCACTTTACTTTACTGTATCACCACACGATGACATCACGAGGTGGGGCAGAGTGTTTTTGGCTGTTAAACTTTATAAATGAGGCGTTTCCTGTTGCCGTCGGTTACAGTAAAAAGGATTTGGAAACATGGTTCTGCTCCAGACCTCCGCTCGTCGTCTGTGCCTCATCCTCCTCTTCTCACTCTGTCACTCTTCTCTTTCTCTCACTCCTCCTCGTCTCCTCCTCCTCTTTATCCCCCTCTCCTTTCTCTTTCTCTCTCCTCTTATCTCCTCCCGTCTTCCTCCCCCTCCCTCTCTCCCTTCCTCTCCTCCTGCTCACTCTTCTCTTCATCCCTCTCTCCTCTTTCTCCTTCCCCTCTCGTTTTCTGTCGCTCCTCTCTTCTCTTTCTTCCCTGCCCCCCCTCCCCGTCTTTCTCTCTCCTTCCCTCTTTCCCCTCTCATTTTCCCCTCCCACTCTCTTCTTATCTCCTCCTGTTTTCCTCTCACTCCCTCTCTCCACCATCCCTCCTTCTGTCACTCCTCCTCTTTCTCTCCGCTCTTTCCCTCTCCTCTCTCCTTTCCTCTCTCTTGTTTTCCCTCAGCTCCCCTTCTCTCTCTCTCCTCCCTCCCTTTCTCCTCCTCCTCTTTTTTTCTCTGACATGTTCCAGTTGTTTTCACAGTTTCACATTTGTCATCTTAATCTGTCTTCTGTCTCCTGTCTGCCTGTCACTGCTCCTGTCTGCTCCTGTCTGCCTCCTGTCACTGCTCCTGTCTGCTCCTGTCTCTGCTCCCCTGTCTCTGCTCCCTGTCTCTGCTCCTGTCTCTGCTCCTGTCTGCCTGTCTGCTCCCCCTGTCTGCCCTGTCTCTGCTCCTGCCACTGCTCCTGTCACTGCTCCTGCTCCTGTCACTGCTCCTGTCACTGCTCCTGTCTGTCTGCTCCTGTCTGCTCCTGTCACTGCTCCTGTCACTGCTCCTGCCCACTGCTCCTGTCACTGCTCCTGTCTGCTCCTGTCTGCCCCTGTCTGCTCCTGTCACTGCTCCTGAAATTAAACTGAATTTCAAGCCCTGATTGATTTCGTCGACTGCGGTTGTTCTTCTGTCAGACTGAAAACACTCTGCTCCACCTGGTGATGTCATCGTGTGGTGATACAGGAAGTGCTCCGCTGTGTTTTTAAACTCCACACTTCACCTTCACTAGAATCACCTGGATCAGTTTTTTTTCCAGTCGTGGAGTCGCCGAATCTCGACTGAACTAAAGGGAAAAGGAGCTGAGAACATTTAAGAAAAAAATATGACCACTTGATGACATCACGAGGTGGAGCAGAGCGTTTGGAGCTTTGGAGATGTAAAGATTTACTCAGACAAACAGGAGTCCGGCTCTGAGTGTGAACAGGAACATCTGAACACGACTCAAATCTCACATGAGTCACTTCTGCCTCATTTTGAACCATTAAAGATGAATAATTGTTTTGTTTTTCCCGTTTTTCAGAGTAAAAATCAAACACAGACTTTTTTAAATGACACAGACAACACACACAGACACACACACACACAGACACACAGACACACACAGACACACACACACACACACACACACACACACACACACACACACACACACACACACACACACACACACACACACACACACACACACACACACAGACACACACACACACACACACACACACACACAGACACACACACACACACACACACACACACACACACACACAGCACACACACACACACACACACACACACACACACACATACACACACACACACACACACACACACACACACACACACACACACACACACACACACACACACACACACACACACACACACACACACACACACACAGACACACACACACACACACACACACACACAGACACACACAGACAGACACACACACGAGCTGCTGCTTCTAACGGTTCATTTATTGTGAAGGTTAAATGGTTCGAGTCTCGTTTGAAAAAATACAAAACAAACACGTGGATGCAGCTCCTCCTCAGGTCCTCACAAAACACAATCTTACAAAAGTTTTCAGTTTTCTTTACGTGTGTTCATCCATCCGTCCGTTCTTCTGTTCCGCGTCGTTCTCTAAAAACACAATCTTACAAAAGTACAGTTCTTTTTTACACGTCTGAATCCGTCCGTGGGTTTTTCTGTTCCGCTCGTTTGTCGCTCGAAAGTCGTTCAAACGCTCCAGGTTCAACGGTGAGTCCAGGAAACAACGCTCGAGTCGGACCGGTTAAAAGCTCGACGAGAAAAACAAACTGGTGGAGGGTCCGCCACCCGCTCGTCTCCACAGAGATGTTAACGCTTCGTCTAGAATGTTCCACAGTGTGACATTAAACAGCTCGGCCTCACATTTATTCAGTTACTGCGACTCTGCAAAAGGGTCGGTCCAAATGAAATCAGCCGCCCTCCTCCTCCGTGAGCCGTGACTGATTTGACTGAAAAAAATCCCAAAATTTCTAAAATCACCAAATAAAAGAATCTCAAACTCAGTCGTTCCTGAGTTTTGGCGCATTGAAATTCTGGGGCCATGTTCACTTTTTCATAAACTTTAAACATGTTTGAGACCAGAACTTCATCAAAAATCGAGCGAGGAAGATGAAGATGTATTTTATTGTAGATTCTTGGTCAGAGATTCTGATTCTGTTGTCAAATATTGTGTCTCTTTATTAAGGAGGACACTGTGGGCCCCAAAATCTCAGATTTAGTTGCCTCTGAATTTTTTTTTTTCAATATTTGAGGTCCAAGATCTGTTTACTCCAAACAGATATTTACAAAATAACGGTTGAACCTGAATATTTGAGAGAATGAACATTTCTGACACAAATCTCACACTGTTCTGAGTTTTCATGTGGACGGTGGAGAGTCTCAGTCCAGGTTTGATCTTTTTGGCTCCTCGGTTCCTCATGTGACACAGTTTGATTTGATCAAATTTTTTTACCAGACAAACTTTGTCAGATTCTGATGAGTTTAAAGTCATAAAAACATCGACTATTAACTTCCTTCATTTCAAACGAAATTTTTGAAAATGAGTCTCGTGGGTCATTTTTGGAGGAGTTTAGGGACTTTTCCTCCTGACAGAGAAGCTCAAACATGTTTATAAATTAAAGCTTCAGAAAAAGTGAACATGGCCCCAGAAATTCAATGGGCCAAAACTCAGAAATGACTCAAGGGACTGAGCGAATATTTGAGATTCATTTGGTGATTTTAGAAATTTAAAAAAAATTTCAGCCAAATCTGAGACGGATCATAGGGGAGATTCCAAAAGTCTCTGATCAGGCCAAGATTTAAAAACTTCTATCAGGTTCTTCATCTTGTTTTCAGATTTATTATCGACTCACTTGTTCTGAATTGGTTGTAGAATCTTAAAAATTGTCACATTTATTTCTTCCATGACTCAACTCGTCAGAAAATCTTAAATTTAGGCCACAAATGTTTAAAAGAAGCGACAATTTATTTCCCAGAGTTTTTCCTGAAACACTTCACTGTTTTTAGATTCAGTGACACAGATTTGTTTGATACTTTGATACTTTGATTTTAGTTTTATTTCCAGCTCATGAACTCTGAGCTCAGACGCTTCAATCTCGTCTAGAGCTCGATTATTCTCAGATAAAATGATCTTCTACTTCGACACATCATTTTTCTAATTTTAAATCATTTTCTGACAGATTTAAGTGTTTACATTTTACATTTTGGACAAACTTTTACTCAGTTTGGTTTTAGAGTCACAAATGTGACTGTGAGCGGGCTCGCCTCTCCACAGATCTGACCTGGAACTGCGTCTGGTTTGGTCTCGGTGGAGATAGAAAAGCGTTTGACGGACCCTCCACCAGAGAAGTTCCACAGTGCGGCTTTAAGTGCCTGTAATTAGAACAAGATCAAACGTGTGACGTCCAGACAGCGCGTCCTCGTCCGTCCGGCGCGTCCTCGTCCGTCCGGCGCGTCCTCGTTTGTTCGTTCGTCCGGCGCGTCCTCGTCCGTCTATTTGTTCGACGCTCCCTCATTTCTGGAACAGACTGTGGGTCTCGCCGGAACAAAACGGCGGACAAATCCAGAGAACATGGCCGCCATCTTCTTCAGACGCGTTTCAGATTTGACGTCATGAAAGAACGACAACGTCTCTGGCAGTTTGGAGGAGGCTCCTGATGACATCACAAAAGGGTTTTGTAACGGCAGTGTTTGTGTGTGTGTGTCTGGGTCCCTATAAGTGTGTGTGTGTCTGGGTCCCTGTAAGTGTGTGTGTGGGTGTGGGTCTGGGTCCCTGTAAGTGTGTGTGTCCAATGTGTCGGCACCACAGACTGTATAAATAAATGGAGAGCCAAACAGGAAGTGAACACAGGTGCACTTCCGGCTCCATCGGCTCTGGTTCTTTGCCCCGTACACAGGGTCTATGCCCACTCAGAGGGGCTCAAGGGTTCTATGCCCGCTCAGAGGGGCTGGCCGTGGCCTCGTCGTTGCTGCTGTCCACCTCGGTCTCCATGGGGCTGTCCTCCTCCAGCTGTTGGCTCGTGAAGTTTGTGATCTCCAGGAAACCGCTGGGCTCCACCACCACACTGGACTGACTGGAGTCCGGCAGGATGGAGTACTGAGGGATCACCTGAACGAGAGAACATCGGAGGAACATCAGAGGAACATCAGAGGAACATCAGAGGAACATCAGAGGAACATCAGAGGAAACATCAGAGAAACATCAGAGGAAACATCAGAGAAACATCAGAGGAACATCAGAGGAAACATCTTGTCTGATAAACACACAGGATCAGAAGGACCATCACAAACGCACGGGGTCTGGAGAGTTTGTGGAGTCTGTGGGGTTTGTGGGGTTTGTGGAGTCTGTGGGGTTTGTGGAGTTTGTGGAGTCTGTGGGGTTTGTGGGGCTCTGTGGGGTTTGTGGAGTTACCTCGATGACGTCCATGTCCTCTTTGCTCCTCTGTGCGGCCAGACTCTGGAGACAGCTGTACTGTGGAGCTTTACTGTGAGAGCTGCTGATGAAAGGCGCCGAGTCCAGGGTCTGGACCTCCAGAGCCTGGACCTCCAGAGCTTGGACCTCCAGGCCCTTCCCCAGGGGCCCGCAGTCGCTGGACGAGTCCACCACCATGGGCTCGGTGCTGGGGTCGATCTCCGCCTCCATCATGGAGATCTTCAGGATGTCGGACACGGTCTTGTCGGCGGCCGAGGGCCCGGCGCTGGGCTGTGGGAGGAGCTTGGCGGTGGCTTCTCCGCTGGTGTAGGCGGAGCTCGGGTGAGCCCCGCCGAACGTGATCTTTGTGACGGTGGCGCTCTGAGTGATGATGGGCTGCTGAGGAAGAACACAAACGACAGATTTAAGGTTTCACAAGGTCCATGCTGATAAATCCTGACGATAGTTTTGGGCCGATATTTTTGGGCTGATATGTGGATCTGGTGTTGTTTAAATGGTCTATAAACTCCCCACAGCCTTTGGGCGACAAACCCACAGAGTCTCATGTTGGACAGTTTATGTCAAAGGAGAAATTCAGTTTGTGAACTGGACAAACGTTTATTTTGGTTGAATTGGTCAGAACAGAAGCTGCAGTTTGGACGAGCTGTGAAACATGTTTGGCCTAAATAAACGTTTGTCCAGTTCACAAACTGAGTTTCTCTTTGTCTGGACCTGGACTGAGACACTCTACACACGTGTTGTTGTTGTACATTTAAATCTTTGCACTCAAGTACAAATAAAACTTTCTGGACTTTTTAAGCCGCAGTTCCACCAAAAAGTATCGACCTGTGCTGGAGATTTAAGGTCGAGAGACAATTTCACTCCTGTCTCTTGCTCTTTTTTTGCTACTTATTTAGAATTTATTACCATTTATATCTTTTTTCTCTTTGTTATGATATTTTATTGTGATGTGTGACTCCTGCGTCCAAATCTTTTCCCTGTGGATCAATAAAGTTTGTCTGAGTCTAAATCTAAATATGTCAAATATCGGGCTGATGTAAAGGACAGTCGATATATCGATGTGTTTCTAGTGAGAAGAGGAGACGCCGCACACACGACTCTGCAGACAGTCCAACGAGGTTCATTTGGTCTTCTGATAATTTATATAATCAGGTTCTTTTTTCAGATCAAGAGTTTGTTTTCCTCCTGACAGTTTGTTTCTTCCTCAGAGATCCGTCCTCTTCGTCTGGTGATGTTTCTGTGTCGTGTTGATGTAAACACATTCTGTCTGTGTCTTCGTCTCGGTGGAGTCAGGACGACAGCGCCACCTGCAGACGCACTTCCTCACGACAAAATCCCAGGAGTGTGAGAGGAACAAAAACCCTCGTCCCGGTTTATCGTCCCTGTCGTCCTGACTCCACCGAGACGAAGAGGAAGGACACTAGTACGGAAGCTGAGAGGGGTCACAACAAATACAAATGCCACAACACAAACGCAAAAGCCACAACACATTAAAAAGCCACAACAGAAATGACCGCGGGACTGTATTTTCTGACAGACCGATCGAGCGGCAAGTGAAGAAGAACTACAACATGAAAAGTAAAGGAACGGAGAAGTTGAAAACGCTTGCCGCTTGATCGGTCCGTCAGAAAATAGAGTCCCGCGGTCACTTCTGTTGTGGCTTTTTGATGTGCTGTGGCTTTTTAAATGTGTTGTGGCTTTTTAATGTGTTGTGACTTTTTAATGTGCTGTGGCTTTTAAATGTATTGCGGCTTTCTTATGTGTTGCGGCTTTTGAATGTGTTGTGGCTTTGAATGTGTTGTGGCTTTTGAATGTGTTGTGGCTTTTGAATGTGTTGTGGCTTTTGAATGTGTTGTGGCTTTTGAATGTGTTGTGGCTTTTGAATGTGTTGTGGCATTTGCATTTGTGTTGTGGCGTTTGTATTTGTTGCTGCGTTTGCATTAAAGTAGAGTCCCGAGGTCACTTCTGTTGTGGCTTTTTGATGTGTTGTGGCTTTTTAAATGTGTTGTGGCATTAACGTTTGTGTTGTGGCTTCTTAATGTGTTGTGGCTTTTTAATGTATTGTGCCTTTTTAATGTATTGATGGCTTTTTTAATGTGTTGTGGCATTTGCGTTTGTGTTGTGGCATTTATTTTAATGCAAATGCAGCAACAAATACAAGAGTCCCGTGGTCATTTCCGTTGTGGCTTTTTTTGGTTTGTTGTTGTGGCTTTTTGTCGTGTTGTGGCTTTTGTATTTGTTGTGGCTTTTGCGTTTGTTGTGGCCCCTCTCGGCTTCCGTACTTCTCGGTGAAACTGTCGTGTATGAAAACACACTCTCTGTCTAACACATGACTGTGCAGATTTTCAAACGCAGCCGTGTTGTTTTTATTTTTATGGTGAACAGCGCGAGACTCTTAAAGGTCTGTAAACCTCAGCGGAGTCGTCACAGTTCTGGTCATGTGGAGTTAGTTCTGTAATCTGAAACGATGTGAAACTGTTGAGCAAAGGTCAGAGCCGGAGTGTTTCTGTAGAATCACCGACGGTTCAGAAGAACACGGAGGGTTCGGTCTCTGCAGTGAAGTAAACAGCAGCTGGATTCATGCGAGTGTGAAATCGCCCACGGGTCTGATTCTCTGGCGTCGACGCAAAAACAAAAGCCAGAGGCCGAAGAGACCTGCAGCTGAGCCAGGGGAAACCCCGCTGTGATGTCATCAGGGGGAAGCAGAGCCTCCACAACAACACTGACGACAGGAGCAAACAGACAGGTGCTTTCAGGCTTTGTGTACGGAGCACTTCCTGTTCTCTTTTCTCCTCACTTTCTACTTTCTCTACTCTCGCCGCCTGCTTGTCTCCATGGAGATGTGTTAATGCTCTACTGAGGAAATTTACAGGCAAAGCAATCGCCACGGAGACAAAGAGATTACAGAGTGAATCTTTAAATCTGTGTGTCATTCGTATTTCAAAATAAACTCAAAAATAAAACGAAAAAACAACAATTTTCTTCATTATTTGTCTCTAAAACCAAAATGAAAACACAAATAATAGACTAAACCAGGTCTAAACCAGGTCTAAACCTGGACTAAACCAGGACTAAACCAGGTCTAAACCAGGACTGAACCAGGACTGAACCAGGACTAAACCAGGACTAAACCAGGTCTAAACCAGGACTAAACCAGGACTAAACCAGGTCTAAACTGTGAGCATTGGACCAGGGCCGGAAGTTCACCTGCACAGACTGTCAGGTGATCAGGACTGGTTTAGTCCTGGTTTAGACTGGTTAGTCCTGGTTTAGTCTGGTTCAGTCCTGGTTCAGTCCTGGTTCAGTCCTGGTTCAGTCCTGGTTTCTGGTTTAGTCCTGGTTTCAGTCCTGGTTTAGACCTGGTTTAGTCCTGGTTCAGTCCTGGTTTAGTCCTGGTTCAGTTTAGTCCTGGTTTAGTCCTGTTTAGGTTTAGTCCTGTTTAGACCTGGTCCTAGGTTTAGTCCTGGTTTCTGTTAGTCCTGGTTAGTCCTGGTTCAGTCCTGGTTTAGTCCTGGTTTTAGTCCTGGTTTAGTCCTGGTTTAGTCCTGGTTTAGTCCTTAGTCCTGGTTTAGTCCTGGTTTAGTCCTGGTTTAGACCTGGTTTAGTCCTGGTTTAGTCCTGGTTTAGTCCTGGTTCAGTCCTGGTTTAGTCCTGGTTTAGTCCTGGTTTAGTCCTGGTCCTGGTTCAGTCCTGGTTTAGTCCTGGTTTAGTCCTGGTTTAGTCCTGGTTTAGTCCTGGTTTAGTCCTGGTTCAGTTTGTTATCTGTTTTTTCCATTTTTTATTTAAACATAAAATCGAAAAATGAAAAAACAAATCCGTTATCTGCTTTTTTCTGACCGGACTCCAGCTGTTTCCACGACCTGCACCAGTCAAGTCATGAGGACGCGGCACTTTTGTTTTGTTTTAAGGCAATAAGGACATTTTTAGTTTATTTACAGACTTGATATTTTACACTTTTGTAGCTAAGGCCCTAAATTAAACTTTTTTTTATGTCCAAAAAGTTGTTCATACTTATTTGTGTGAAAGAGTGTGAATTTAATTTTGTGTTTTCAAGTGTATTTCTGGTCCTGTAGTTTTTATTTCAGCCACACGACACGACTCCAGCAGCAGATTATGAAAAAAAAAACAGTTTGTAGTAAAAAAAAAAAAGGATGTTTAACACGTCGTTAGGGGGAAACGGGGCAGTTTAAAGGCAAAATTAAGAAAAAAATGAATGAACGAAATGCAGTAAAATTGCTCTTAGGTCTAAAAGAGTTAATGAAACAAAACCTCGCTCCAGGTGGGTTTGTGACGAGGTTTAGAACATTAGAAAATTAGAGCGTTAGAACATTAGAGACTTAGAAAATGGTGTAATACAGGCCGGGTTTAGAACATTAGAGGTTTAGAACATTAGAGGTTTAGAACATTCGAGCGTTGTAACATTAGAGTTTTAGAACATTAGAGTTTTAGAACATTAGAGGTTTAGAACATTAGGGTTTTAGAACATTAGGGTTTTAGAACACTAGAGCTTTTAGAGCTTTAGAACACTAGAGTTTTAGAACATTAGAGGTTTTTAGAGGTTTAGAACATTAGAGGTTTAGAACATTAGAGGTTTAGAACATTAGAGCGTTAGAACATTATAACATTAGAGCGTTAGAACATTAGAAAACGGCGTGCTGCGGGCCGTTTGTCGTGCGGGGGGGTTCCTGCGCTCACCTGGCTGGCGGCGGCGGCGGTCTTGTCGGTGCTGACGGGGTGGTGCGCCTGCAGGGGGGGCGGGTGGGAGATGTCGGCGCGGAGGGGGCGGTGGAGCGAGGTGGGGGCGTGCTGGAGCTTGGGCAGCTGCGGGGTGACCGGCGGTTTGGTGGGGGTCCCGGGGGCGGACCCTTTGACGGCGGCGGCGGTGATCGCGGCGGTGATCGCGGCGGCGGCGGTTCCGTCTTTGGGGCTGTGGGAGGGCACCTGGGGCGACTCTCTCAGTTTGGGGGGCTTCTTGGCGAGCGGCGGCGTGGCGGGGGTGAGCTGCGGCGGGGGTGGGGCTCCGGGTGGGCGGGGGTCTGGCCGGAGCGGTAGAACAGGCCGGTCTGAGGGTCCAGCGTGTCGCCCTCCACCTCGCTCGGCTCCACGGCGGCCGCCTCGCTCTTCCCGCCGTCCGACACCTGCGAAGGGAACAAACCACGGGACCGTGTGAGGACTTTTGGTTCTACACGGATGTCTATGGAGGAATGTACAGCTGTTACCATGGCAACACGACGCTCACTTTAACAAACACGATTTTAGATCAGACGTGGGCGTTGTCCAGCTCCACACACGGCTCTTTGACTCAAACAAACCTGAACATTTTACCAACAACTGGTAAAATGTTCCCCAGGTTCAACTTCCCCAATTTAAGACCTTTTTAAGACCTTTTAAATGAAAATGAAGACAAACGTTGCACCCAATCACATCCAAGTCTCATAATGACCCACCAACTACTGTATCTAGAATCTTAGTCTACGTTCAGTCTGCAGGTTTAACGCTCAATTCAGATTTTTTTGTGAAATCTGATGTTTTTTCGAGGTCGTTCACATTTCCAGTTAAATGTGACTTGTATGTGACTCCAGTGTGAACATTAAACGGTCCAAAAGTGTCCCACATGTGACACTGGAGACACGACGACGTCAACCGCAGCGAGCGTCTCTGTGTTTACACAAGTTGAACAAACATGGACGCAGCATCGAGCACCTGGAGATTTTAAAGTTCCTCTCGTACCGGAGCCACAACATGAACAACTGACTTGTTTTAAGGAGGAGATTGAGAAGGAGAAGGAGCAGGTTTTTGGTGGTGGTGTTTTGTGGTGAGTGGAGATGTGCTTCACTTCAGTCACATGGATCATGAACAGTTTTCTCTACTTCAGTGCAGAATAGTGACGTTTGTGTCTTGTTGATGACGTGTAGGTGGATGAATGTGACCTGACTGTTCACACTCAAGTCACATGTTAAAGATCAGATATGGATCAGTTTCAGGAGCACAGATCCAAGTGTCCTGGTCACATGTGAAAACATCACATCTGTGTGGTTCAGACTGACATTAAAAGATCAGATACAGGAACATAGAGACAAAACATCTGATTTGGGAACTTCAGGTGCAGTGTGAACGTCGACTAAAAGCCATGATCCATCCAACGTCTTCCTCAACTCTACTGATCCTTTTACTCGTTGCCGCCGGCGCCAGAAACCAAAATATTTGTTTGCTCAATCTCCAAATTAGACGTTCATTCACGTTATGAGATTTGACGTTCTTTTTTTTCCTCTCCGTTTAACACTGAGTTTCACACTGCAGCCCAGTTGAGTTTACAAAAAATAAGTTAACAAAATTTAAGACCTTTGTGAAAAAAATAAGACTTGGAGAACAGAATTTAAGACCTTTTTAAGACTTTTAAAACCCCGCGGCTGCACTGCCAGTTTAGAGTTTGGTCGACTTCGTTAAGTGTGACGTCGTCGTGTCTCCAGTGTCACATGTGGGACAGTTTTGGGGCGTTTAAAGTTCACACTGGAGATCACAAAGAAGTCACGTTTAACTGGAAATGTGAACGACCTCGAAAAAACATCGGATTCACAAAAATTCCAAATTGAGCTTTAAGCCCTGCAGTCGTAAGATTCAGTGCTGTGAAAAACAAAATGAGGGTTTTGGATCGGCCCTGGTCAAAGTCCAGACCCGAGACGCTGTGACATGACCATAAAAAGGCGGTTGATTGTTGGAAACTCTCCAGTGTGGATGATTTAAAACAATTCTGCAGCGCAGACTGGGGCCAAAATTCCTCCACCGCGATGTGAAAGAGTCGCTGGCAGAGACGCAAACTCTCAAGTGCAGTTGTTCTGCTCAGGGATTTTTCACATGGGTCAGGGAGGTTCAGATGGAATGTTTTTCACTTAATAAATAAAATTGACACTTCAAACTGCACTCTGGGTTTACGTGTGAGTTTTCTTTGTCTAATATTTAATTCAGTCCTGGTTCAGTCCTGGTTCAGTCCTGGTTCAGTCCTGGTCCTGGTTTAGTCCTGGTTTTAGTCCTGTTCAGTCCTTTAGTTCAGTCCTGGTTCAGTCCTGTTAGTCCTATTCAGTCCTGGTTCAGTCCTGGTTAGTCCTGGTTCAGTCCTAGTTCAGTCCTGGTTCAGTCCTGGTTCAGTCCTGGTTCAGTCCTGGATCAGTTCTGGTTTAGTCCTGGTTTAGTCCTGGTTCAAGTCCTGGTTGAGTCCTGGTTGAGTCCTAGTTCAGTCCTGGTTCAATCCTGGTTGAGTCCTGGTTCAGTTCCTGGTTCAGTCCTGGTTCAGTCCTGGTTGAGTCATAGGTTAGTCCTGGTTTAGTCCTGGTTTAGTCTCGGTTCAGTCCGTGGCGTACGCAGCCCAAAAGTTTGATATAATCTTGGGTTAAAGGGCAGGTGTGGGCAGATGCAGGCAGGTGTGGGCAGGTGCGGTCCTGTACTGCACGGGTACGAGTCTCCAAAAATGGACCCCTGCAGGACTCTGCGCTGTCGGGACTTTTTTACAGAACTTTACACAGTCGTCCCTCGTTATTCGCGGTCTCACTGTTTTGCAGATTTTTTTTTGTGTGTGAAATTTGTCATGTTTTTTTTTTTTTACAGCGTAGGAATGTGGTGTGGACCGTTGTCAATCAGTCTCCTCTGTGTCGTGTCTCTGTCCAGTACAGAATGTGATCAGTTTGACAAATTTACATAAATGTTCGATCTGTATCAGTGTGATTCTGAAGTGTTGTATGTTTGAGTTTTCTCCCTGACAAAACCCACAATGTCGACGAAACTTTCTGCACCAACAAAGACTCCTGCGCTCGCATACAAAAGGCCGAGGAAGATGAAACCGTCGCACAAAGTTGGACTTCTGGACACGCTGAAGGAAGAGAGAAGTTACGCGGCTGAGGCAGAGTCCTGCACCGGGTCGGGTCCCCGCAAGTAGGTGCTGAAACGGGCGGGTTTTAAAGTTCTGGAATTTTACGGGCGGGGAGTGATTACACACGGGCGGGTCAGGACTAATCCAGGACTAAACCAGGACTACACCAGGACTAATCTTGGACTTCAGAGAGAGAACCCTGACCCCGTGGAGCAGAGTGTCTGTATAGAGCGATCGGGCGACGGCCGTGTTTACCTCCGTGAGGTGCGGAGCTGAGCCGGTCCTTTCTCCTGTGGTCACCTCCGAGCCCGTCCCCACAGTGAGTCCTGGTTTAGTCCTGTGTTAGTCCTTGTTCAGTCCTTGTTTAGTCCTGGTTTAGTCCTGGTTCAGTCCTGGAATCAGTCCTGTAATCAGTCCTGGTTTAGTCCTAGTTCAGTCCTGTTTTAGTCCTAGTTTAGTCCTGGTTCAGTCCTGGTTCAGTGCTGGTTTAGACCTGGTTCAGTCCGTGGTGTACGCAGCACAAAAGTTTGATATAATCTCGGTTTAATGAGCAGGTGTGGGCAGGTGTGGGCAGGTGCGGGCAGGTGCGGTCCTGTCCTGCGCGGGTATGAGTCTCCAAAAATGGACCCGTGCAGGACTCTGTGCTGTCGGGCTCCATTACGGAACAAACAAATCTTTGTTTCGTTACATAAAGAAGGAAAATAACGTCAGGACGACAGCAGCAAAAAGTTTTACGAAGGATGTAAAAGTGTTTGTAAGTTTCCTGTGTGAGAAAAGTGGATAAAGTTTGTGCTGAGGTTTTACAGATTTAAAACAGATAAAATAATTGTAAAATATGAAGTTGATACTCGGTGGATTTCACCTCTCGCGGGTTATTTTTAGAACATAAACTCCGCGATAAACGAGGGACCGGTGTGCTCTCCCAATCTCACCAAAACAATGATATTTGCGGCTTTTTTTAAGGAAATACGATTAATATTCTGCAGAACTGAGAGAAGTATTTCAGCCTCCGCGATATTTTCTGTTTCTCACGTGGACAGAAGAATTTCCCGGCCCGTTTCAGATCGTCCGAAAACTCAAAAAACTTTTATTTTTAAATTAAATTTTAAAAAGCGGTTTTAAAGGGCACGTTGTCATTTTCACACACTGATCACGGGGAAATGAAAACGCGCCCTTTAAATAACTTTTTTTTTTTTTTTTTTTTTATGACCTTTTGTGGAGGTGTTTCACGTCGCCGTCGATGAAGCGTCGTCTGGTTTTATTTATAGCTGCCGTATTTAGTCATGAGGAAGTCAGACAAACGTTGCATCATGGGAGAGCGAGAGGTTTCATTGTTGTGGTTCAAACAGGTTACACACACACACACACACACACACACACACACACACACACACACACACACACACACACACACAGATATCTTTAGATTCTTTAGAAATGATTAACAATAATATGACCTGGAAGTTAAACCCATGAGAGAAATGTGACGGTGGAGGGAACCTCCCGACGCTCTCGGTTCTGTTCTTTTATTGTGTTTTTATTGTATATTGTTTATTTTGTTGTGGCCGTGGAACATGATACAGATTCACCTCGTGTGAACGCGATGACGTAAAATATGGAACTTATTTTATCATTCTTGTTTATTACGGCCAAACAGTTTATTCATAAATGCAAACAGCTTGTTTAGATTTAATAATTTTAGGTGTTTTTTTCACATGTATAAGAACTCTTGCATTGGATTTATTTATTATAGTAAAAAAAAAAAAAGAGAAAAAAGTATGAACCGAATAAAATAAAATAACTTATGTTGATAACTTTAAACATAAAAAAGTAAAAAAAAAAAAAAAAAAAAGTATGCTGATAACTTTAAACATGAAAAAAATAAAAATAAATAAAATAAAAATAACTTGTGTTGATAACTTTTTATCAACAAAAAAAAAAAAAAACTAAACAATAGAGTCTGTGTACAAACATTCAAACATCCGTCATTTAAACCTCAGACATTATAACATAAGTCTGAATCATTTGGACAATTTGTATTTATTTTACGATCATTAAATCAGACCTGAAGTGTTTTTTGTGTTTGACCTCTGACCTCTGAAGATCCTTCTGTTCTGACTGTGACATTTTAAATCACAATTTTAATCTGAAACGACAAATGATCTTTGATCTGAAACGATCATAAAGAAACAAGAGCAACAACTTCAGCGTTAGAAAACTGGAGTCTAATGGGACTGAACCAGGACTGAACCAGGACTAAACCAGGACTAAACCGGGACTAAACCGGGACTAAAGCAGGACTAAACCAGGACTAAACCAGGACTAAACCAGGACTAAAACAGACTGTGGTCCTTCCTCCTGCTGCACATCACACTAAAGCAGTGTTTTGTTTTGTTTTTTTACATTTGGACCAAAATGACTCTGCACAAATGTACGAGTATCACACATTAAGAACATCAAACTGGAGAAGGAAGCGCGGACGTCGCAGCGTGTACGTCGCAGCGTGTACGTCGCAGCGTGTACGTCGTGTACGTCGCAGCGCGTACGTCGCAGCGCGTACGTCGCAGCGCGTACGTCGCAGCGCGTACGTCGCAGCGCGTACGTCGCGCGTACGTCGCAGCGCGTACGTCGTGTACGTCACAGCGTGTACGTCACAGCGCGTACGTCACATTGGGCGTGTGTGTGAACGAGGGGAGAGCAATAAAATGGAGTCTTGGAAATAAAGATTAAAGTTTCCTCAAACATGAATCAGTCCAAATAAAGTTGTGAAAGTCAGTGAGAGGAAACGACGAGAACCTGGAGGAACCTCTGAGGAGAACAGTCTGCAGATATGTTCTGGTTTAAAGGTTTTTTTTGTTTTTTGTTTTGTGGCGTGAGGCTCTTGTCTGTTTGACTCATTCTTGTGTGATTTATAAACAGGTGCTGCTCCTGACGTCAGGGCCACGAATCAATCAACAGGAAAGATTTGTTTTTCTAATCATTTTGACTCAACGCAGCAGGAGGAGACTTCAGTGGAAACTGACACTGCACTGTGACATCACCCTGGGGGTTTTCTACATTTATGTCTATGGTGGAATGTTCACAAGTTACCAGGCTTACCAGGGCTGTGCAAAATATCAAAATATCGGTATATCGTATCGTTTAATGTTCGATATCGTGGGCTGATGTATCAATATATCATCAAGAGGATTTTTTGGTTTATTTTACTAAATTGTTTTGTTAAAGCTCCAGTTTTGTTTGTTCAGAGGAAAGAAGCTTGTTTATGTGACAAATTTGACATTTTCACTGTTTTGACGATTAAAATGTTTGTGTTTCATGAAGTGATTTAACAAAAACTTTTAGTGTCACACACATGACTTAGACTTTATTTTTATTGAACTGTATCGAATCGATTTGAAATATATCGTATTGAATCAAAAGCTGACTGTATCGATGCATGTATCGTATCGGCGACATCTTCATGATCCTCATCCTTGATGCAAACATCAGCAAACACAGACAAAAAGTTTTAAGATCGTCTGAAAGTTCAAGTAAAAAAACAGGGGTGTCAAATTATCACGTTAATTGCGATGAATTAATTTCAGTCATATTTAGCTCGTTATGTTTTTTAATCGTGTTAATCTCATTTTTAATCTCTAACTTTACTGTTTCTGTGCGAATTGATTTATTATAAAATCTGTTTTTATGTTGTTAGGACACAGTCGCACTGTGCAGTCCTGCTCCACTCGCTCTCGCAAACAACTGTCATTTTCATTTACATCAGTGATAAACCTGCACATGTCTGAAAACATCACAACACAAACAGAGAGAACACCCCTCTCACAGAGAGAACACACACAGAGAGAACACCCCTCTCACAGAGAGAACACCCTCTGACACAGAGAGAACACCCCTCTCACAGAGAGTCACACAGAGAGAACACCCCTCTGTCACACAGAGAGAACACCCCTCTGTCACAGAGAGAACACCCCTCTGTGACACAGAGAGAACACCCTCTCACACAGAGAGAACACCCCTCTGACACAGAGAGAACACCCCTCTGACACAGAGAGAACACCCCTCTGTCACACAGAGAGACACACACCCCTCTGACACACAGAGAGACACAGAGAGAGAACACCCCTCTCACAGAGAGAGAACACACAGACACAGAGAGAACACCCCTCTGACACACACAGAGAGAGACACACAGAGAGAACACCCCTCTGTCACAGAGAGAACACCCCTCTGACACAGAGAGAACACCCCTCTGACACACAGAGAGAACACCCCTCTGTCACACAGAGAGAACACCCCTCTGTCACACAGGGAGAACACTCATATTCCACTGAGTCACTGTGTCCTTTAGTCCAACACAAACTGAACCACATCAGACACAAGAGCGTTTTTTTTCTTTTTTTTCTTTTTTCTTCTTACTTTATGTAAATGAGTCATGTGGTTTTAAGTTTTGTTTCTGTGAGATTTGTACAAATCTGCATTAAACACATGATCATGTCAAACAGCTGATGTGGATCTAGAGTCTTTATGTTTATATGTTGTAAAGTTGAGTTTATTTATGCAGATTAGTAATAGTAATAATAATGATGAAAATACCTCAAGTTGAAGTTTTTCTCAGCAATTTTTAGGTGAGATTAAAAAAGAGATTAATTAGATTAATTAATTACAGATCATAATTAATTAATCTCTCAATTTTTTAAATCATTTTGACAGCACTAAAAAAAACATGATTTAAAACTTCCATTTTCCTGTGATCAGTGTGATCGTTCACGGTTCTGTCCAGGAGTTTGATTTTACACTAAAAGGAGAAAGTGACTCAGAAAAACTGTTTACCGCTAATGCAAATGCTGAAGATCTGTGTGTGTTTCCTGCACTTTTAGTTTTGCTCCAAGTCCAAACTGTGTGATTATTATTTGTGAAGTGTGGAGCAAAACTTCAGATCCAGGATTTTAAAGCATAAAAGGTTCGTTCACACCAAAGCGTCAAAAAACACCTTGACGTCTCTATTTGGAGCCTTTGCATTTGAGTTTCGACGCCCCCGACGCTCGTGTCTTTTAACGTCGCCGTTGCCCTGGAAACAAGAGCCCGGTCCTGGTCTTTTCCTGAAACAATGTCAGACCAGACTGAGAGACTTTAGTGTTTTTATCACATAAAACATCAGCGGAGGAAATCGACTCGACGACTGGAGCCAGTTTATATTTATACTCCACTAATGACACTGGATCAGTCCTGGTTTAGTCCCAGTCTAGTCCCGGTCTAGTCCCGGTCTAGTCCTGGTCTAGGTCCTGGTCTAGTCTATGTTTAGTCCTTGTTTAGTCCTTGTTTAGTCCTGGTCTGGTCCTGGTCTGGTCCTTGTTTAGTCCTGGTCTAGTCCTGGTCTAGGTCCTGGTCTAGTCCATGTTTAGTCCTTGTTTAGTCCTGGTCTGGTCCTTGTTTAGTCCTGGTCTAGTCCTGGTTTAGTCCTGGTCTAGTCCTGGTTTAGTCCTGGTTTAGTCCTGGTTTAGTCCTGGTTTAGTCCTGGTTTAGTCCTGGTCTAGTCCTGGTTTAGTCCTGGTTTAGTCCTGGTTTAGTCCTGGTTTAGTCCTGGTTTAGTCCTGGTGATGGTCTCGGTGTTTGTGGTGTATATATTTATGTTTCGTTCATGTTTGTGGTTCTGGTTCTGGGGTTTTTCTTCCTGATAATAACGTCTCTGTGTCTCTGGATACTCGTCCCTGATTGGTCGACGCGGCTCGTCTGACGCGAAAAGTTCAGCATTTTCAACTTCTTGACGCTGACGCCTTGGACGCGCGTCTAGAGAGTCAACACCAAAACACTCAAGAAGCGCTGCGCTGACGCCAGATTCGCGCTGCGCTGACGCCGTAGACGCGCCGCAAAAACGCAGGAGGCTCTAGTCGCGCGTCCACATCGACTTTACACAGAAACTGGACGATTTGATGCTTTGGTGTGAATGAACCTTAAAAGTTTGAAGATAAAGTGTTGGGGAAGTGGAGTCAGTGTGGAGAATCTGCAGCTTCAGGTGGATCCTGTGTGGACGTAAACAGACGCACGCGACTAAACAAACTCACGTTTTTACTTTGAAACTACGACGAGAAAAACTGGAGTCAGAGCCCAGACGTTTGTGAACTGGACTCTTTATTTGTAGATTTCACCGACAAAATTTCAAAACTTTTCCGTGACTTTTTCATGAGCTAAAGTGAATTTTCCATGACTTTACGGCTCCTGCATGTGTAAAACTGATCAGACTTTTAGATCTAAATCTGAAATGTTGACTCTTTCCACTCTCCTTATGGTTTGGGATGATGGTTTTTTAAGAATAGTTTTTGAGAAATGAACAAAACGCTGCAGAAAGTCTTGTTATTTTCTCTGTTTCCTGGGTTTGTATTTTGTGTGTCTGTGTCGGTCTCCCCTGCCCCTGACGCTCGGGTTTATTTAATTTTTTTTTTATTATTTATTTTACAGACACACACACACACGAGGAGCACAGCGGCTTCACAATCACACACAAAAACACAAAGTCGGGTGAAGAAAATCTCAGCCAAAATCAGGCAAATCCTCCTTAAACAGCGGTGATTGTGGTCATTACTGAAGGTTATTCTGTGTGTGTGTGTGTGTGTGTGTGTGTGTGTGTACCGTGTGGCTGCTGTGTGCGCTCGTGCTCGTGCTCACACAGGAAGGGGAGGGGGCAGGGGCCTTGGTCGCCGTGGTAACAGGAGCAGCCTTCAGAGTCTTTCCCAGAGGCTCCTCGTCTCTCACTTTACCTGCGAGAAAACCCACAAAAACACACATCAGACGCACAACAGACGCACAAAAACACACACAGACACACAACAGACGCACAAAAACACACACACAGACACACAACAGACGCACAAAAACACACACAGACACACAACAGACGCACAAAAACACACATCAGACGCACAAAACACACGTCAGACGCACACAGAAACACACACAGACACACAACAGACGCACAAAAACACACACAGACACACAACAGACGCACAAAAACACACACAGACACACAACAGACGCACAAAAACACACGTCAGACGCACAGAAACACACACAGACACACAACAGACGCACAAAAACACACGTCAGAAGCACAAAAACACACACAACAGACGCACAAAAACACACATCAGACGCACAAAAACACACACAGACACACAAACAGACGCACAAAAACACACGTCAGAAGCACAAAAACACACACAGACACACAACAGACGCACAAAACACACATCAGAAGCACAAAAAACACACACAGACACACAACAGACGCACAAAAAACACACACAGAAGCACAAAAACACACACACAACAGACGACGCAAAAAACACACAGAAGCACAAAAAACACACACAGACACACAACAGACGCACAAAAACACACATCAGAAGCACACAAAACACACACAGACACACAACAGACGCACAAAAACACACATACAAAAGCACAAAAACACACACAGACACACAACAGACGCACAAAAACACACATCAGAAGCACAAAAACACACACAGACACACAACAGACGCACAAAAACACACATCAGAAGCACAAAAACACACACAGACACACAACAGACGCACAAAAACACACATCAGAAGCACAAAAACACACACAGACACACAACAGACGCACAAAAACACACAACAGAAGCACAAAACACACACACACACACAGCACAACAGACGCACACAAAAACACACAACAGACGCACAAAAACACACAACAGACGCACAAAAACACACACAGACACACAACAGACGCACAAAAACACACACAGACGCACAAAAACACACATCAGAAGCACAAAAACACACACAGACACACAACAGACGCACAAAAACACACAACAGAAGCACAAAAACACACACAGACACACAACAGACGCACAAAAACACACATCAGAAGCACAAAAACACACAACAGACGCACAAAAACACACATCAGACGCACAAAAACACACAACAGACGCACAAAAACACACACAGACACACAACAGACGCACAAAAACACACATCAGAAGCACAAAAACACACACAAAAACACGTGTCAGAAGCACAAAAACACACACACACACACAACAGACGCACAAAAACACACACAGACACCTGCTGTTCTCCATTACAGGTTTAGTATTGATTAATATTTAAAGAGTCTAGATTACATTATTTTTAATTCAATGTTCTAATGTTCCTAGTCACACTCAGAGCTGGAGTTGTGTTTGTTTCATTCACATGTTTGAGTGACTCTTTATTCTGAGTCTGTTACGTCTCCAAAGCTCCAAACGCTCTGTTTCACCTTGTGATGTCATGAAGTGGGAGTTTCCAAAGTTGTTTTCAGGTCGGGTCAGAACTGGTGCAGGTGTCGGTTCCTGCACCAGTTCCACTGAGAAGTTCTCACGGTGAATGAGCCACGTTCAAACTATTGACATGAACTCATGATGCGTCATGGACGGAGGGAGTGGATTTAAACCCAAATAAAAACAAGGCCACATGAAAACAGACGTCACAGGAGGAAACTAACAATCACAGATCATAGACACAGTAAGTGTTTGTATTTATATGAGTCATTATTTATGTGTCGAGCTCTGACACAACATGGATCTGCTGTGGAGACGACGACAGCGACGCCCAAACCAAAGATAAAAGAATCTGATCAGGACACGGACACATGTGAGACCAACGGGACCAAGAGTTTCTGTAAACTTTAAACTTTTAATCTAATAGGCGATAGTTTCAGCTGTTCTTTGTTTATTTTTCCGCATGTGATGGATGAACGTGCTGATGTCTTCAGTGTCGTCACCGTTCGCTTAGAAAAAACAAGTTTTACTTGGTTCTCGAGCGCTTTGATTTCCAGCGTGAACACGTGAGTCAGTTCAAGATCAGGTGCGGGAACGGGAACTGGCACGGTTCTCTGTAGGCAAGTAAACAGCTCCTTTCCCCTTTAGTTCAGTAGAGATTGGAAACTACAGGGGTTAAAAAAATAGTCCAAGGAAAAATTAATCCAGTTTGTATCCCCGTTTTGGGCTGATTTTGATTGACTTTTTGTAAATGTACCAGGTAACGGGGTATGGATCCCCCGACTCCACCGTGCTCATCGAATTTGTTTCTTGAAGAGTTGAAATGTCTGGTAAATGCTTTCAAGTTGGCCACCTCACATTGTTGTTAGTTAGTTTGTTCCCTTTTTTAAATTTTTTATATATTTATATATTATATATATATATATATATATATATATTTTTTTTTATTATTATTTTTATTTATTTTTCGTTTTTGTAAAAAAAAAAAAGAGTCTGAAAAGGAATCTGATCTTTCTGTAATACCACAGACTGTAAAGATGCGAACCTTTTCTAATAAAAACATAAATGAAAAATAACTAATAATAATAATCCAAATGATTCCAGTGAAAACGTGTGGAGTGTGGAACAGAGTGTTTTGAGTTTGGGCTCAGCCTAAATGTGCAGGTTTGTGCGTTAAACATGTGAATGAAACAAAACAACTCCAGGTCTGTTTCTGACGAGGAAACCACATTGGAACAGAAAAAAGATCAGAAAAAGAGTTAAAATGGGCTAAACTAAACACCAAAATCAATCATCAGAGCGCTCGGGTCCCACACCCGCTCCCCCCGACCCCCCGACCCCCGACCCCCGATCACCACGCAGGATTTTTCACATTTTGCTTATGGGTGGAGTAAAGCTTCAGGAGTGTTTAATGGACCTTTAAAGTTCTGAAATCAAGGGTACGACTACTGAAGAAACATACTGAAGTGTCTGGTCCACGTACCTGCAGCGAGCGCCTCTGCACCGGGCTCTCCCTCCGCGCCCGACTCTCCCTGCCCCTGCCCCTGCCCCTGCCCCTGCGGCGCTGGAGGAGGCGGAGGTGGAAGAGGTGCTGGAGGTGGCGCTGGAGGAGGACGTGGCGGCGCTGGTGGTGGTGGTGGTTGAAGAGGAGGAGGAGGAGGAGGAGGTGGGAGCTCTGGGGACCTCGGGGGGGCTCCTCTTGTCCGGGGGCAGCTGCAGGGGCACGGCCATCTGACTCAGGTCGATGGTGTGCTGCCTCAGCTTCGACTCGGCCTTCTCCTTCACTGTGACGAGAGCAGAAACATCTCAACATCAAACAACATCAAACAACATCTCAACATCAACAGAAACATCAACTCAACACTCAACACACAAACATCTCAACATCAACACAGAAACATCAACATCAACACCAACATCAAACATTCTCAACATCAACACAAACATCTCAACATCAACACAATCTCAACATCAACACAAACATCTCAACATCAACACAAACATCTCAACATCAACACAAACATCTCAACATCAACACAAACAACATCAACACAAACATCTCAACATCAACACAAACATCTCAACATCAACACAAACATCTCAACATCAACACAAACAACATCAACACAAACATCTCAACATCAACACACAAACATCTCAACATCAACACAACATCAACACAAACATCTCAACATCAACACAGAAACATCTCAACATCAACACACAAACATCTCAACATCAACACAAACATCTCAACATCAACACAAACATCTCAACATCAACACAAACATCTCAACATCAACACAAACATCTCAACATCAACACAAACATCTCGACGTCTCCGTACAGAAACATCTCGACCTCTCAGCACACGTGACCTTCACATTCACTCATTTTATGCAGTTTTGAAAAGGTCAAAGCTGTAAAATATTCATATTTATTCGTAGTTTAGATGTAACCATCGCACAAAAAGTTGAACTTCTGGACACACTGAAGGAAGAGAGAAGTTGGGCGGCTGTGGCAGGGTCCTGCACCGGGTCGGGTCCCCGCAAGTAGTCGCTGAAACCAGGACTTAAGAGAGACAACCCCGAGCTTGTGCAGCGCGATCAGGCTACAGACCACTGAGCCGGTCCTTTCTCCTGTGGTCACCTTCGAGCCCATCCTGACACAGACTCCTGGTTCGGTTCTGGGTTAGTCCTCCTCTTCAGTCCTGGAATCAGTCCTGGGTTAGTCCTGCTTTAGTCTTGGTCCAGTCCTTGATGTATGCACAAATGTTTGATATAATCTCGGGTACGGTCCAGGACTCTGCGCTGTTGGGCTCCATTATGGAATAAATGAATGAAGAAGGAAAATAACGTCAGGACGACAGCAGCAATAAGTTTGAAGAAGAATGTAAGTGTCCTGTGTGAGAAAAGTGTATAAAGTTTGTGCTGACGGGTTTTACAGATTTAAAACATATTGAATAATTGTAAAAAATAAAGTTGATACTTCGTGGATTTCACCTATCGTGGGTAAAATTTAGAACGTAAACCGAGGGACCACTGTAATGTCTCTCTTTTTTATTTTATGATGATTCTTTATGTTTTAATTTGTTTGTTTTGTGATTTTAATGTATTTGTTATTCTGTAAAACACTTTGATTTACTTTGTGTTGTTCAAATAAACTTCCAAATATGGTCCCTGGCTGTAGATGAGCTTTTATAACTGCTGCTGCCCTCCATGAGCTTCGTTTGTCTGGAGCTGGCGTCACACTCCCTCAGAACACTTTAAATAGTTCATGATATTCTTTTTTTTCCTTTCGTCGTTCACGTAGAAGTCAAAAACATTTCCAGTGAATGTAAAAGGGGAAGCAGAGCGGAGCGTTTCATCCTGAAGTGAAAACGTCACTTCCCCTCGCGTTCCGCCGGCGTTTGCAGAAGTGTGTTCGTCGTCAGCGCCGCCGCCGCCGCCTCTGCTCCTCTGTCCCCGACCGCTCTCACATCTGTGGGGCAGAGCGAACCTGTCGTACCGGTCCCCGTACTGGGGCTTTGAAGCGGTGTCAGGTGCGCTCCTGTCTCACAGCGGGGCGTCTCGGGGCCGTGTTCGCACATGAGGCGTCAGAGCGCGTTTGTTCAGAGTCACTCAGAGCTGTAATAAAAGGGTTCGTTTCACTTGAGCGTGTGTGAAAAGTGCAGGGTCATAAGGTCTCGCATGACACTGTTCTCTGACGATGTGATAATCCTCATCGTACAACAAACCGCAGTGTTTCGTTACTCAAACATGTGTGAAAGGTCATGTTTATATGATGGTTTTAATTCTAATTTTTATTAACAGTCAAATAGAGACAGTTTCAAATCACAAGTGTACAACAATTTGCTTTTCTTTTCTTTTTTTTTCCTTGACCCCTTCATCCTTTTTTCACTTCACATATCTCTCTTTGATAGTATTGAATTTTTTTTTTTTCCTTATGCTGAAAGAAAGAAATTTAAATTAAATTTAAATTAAACAAACAAAACACTTGAACACTTAAGTAGCAGTGCACAGGGATTGTCACTTTTTTTTTTTTTATCATGTTCAGGTGTTAATAAAGTCTTTCCATGGTTTCCAGCCTTCCTCATACCTGTTGTTTTCCAGTCTTTGTGTGAGTCTTTCCATTTGTGAAACGTCTTCAACAATATTAATCCCGTCCTCCAGGTTCGGTAGTTTGTCACTCATCCATTTTTTGGTTATTGCTTTGGTGCTTGCAACCAGCAGAACATTCCACATATAAATATTTTTATTCCTTTGACGTCATCTGTCCGTTTGCCCAAAAACATAGTTTCAAAATTCAAAGGGATCTTTATTTTAAATGTTTCATCAAAGTTTTGTTTAATTTTCTCCCAATACTGATTCAATTTGGGGCAACTCCAAAAAAACACAATAATGCCCAGACTTTTTATTCCCACATAATCTACATGTTTTTTTTATTGTTCTGAATTAAATACTTCAAAATTTAAATCTTCTCCTTGTTGTTTCCGTGTAAATAATAATGTTGAAGTTGTTTCGTGAAATGTTTTTTATTTAATGTGTGTGAGCGTCTGGGAGGGGGGAGGTTCTGATTGGACAGAGACGCCAACAGATTTAAACACAAACTTCAGCTGGTCCAGACTTTTCTGTCATGTTGGTTTGTCGTTCCTCCACGGACACAAACACCATCCAAACTTTTTAAACAGTCTAACCCAGGTCTAAACCAGGTCTAAACCGGGACTAAACCAGGACTAAACCAGGACTAAACCAGGACTAAACCTTAGAAGGCGTGATCGGGCGTCAGCTGTGGTTCGTCCCGTGGAGCGTGGAGTTCTGTGTCGGTCCTTTCGCCCGCGGTCACCTGACGGTCTACGCGGGCGCATCTCCGGCGTATCACCGAATTTATATGAAGGAAAACGAAAAACCCACCACTTCAATCCAGGATAAAAATGCTTTGTGACGCGCGTTACTCACATTTGTACCGAGTAAAATATATTTTTTTCCCTGTAATGCCACATTACTCCGTTACAGCAAAAAACAACACAGGACAGTTATTCATTTTATAACGTGTTACTCCCAACACTGTTTATAAACCTGCATGAAGTCTTAGTCTACGTTCAGTCTGCAGGTTTAACGCTCAATTCCGATTTTTTTGTGAAATCCGATGTTTTTTCAGCTCGTTCACATTTCCAGTTAAATGTGACTTGTATGTGACTCCAGTGTGAACATTAAACGGTCCAAAAGTGTCCCACATGTGACACTGGAGACACGACGACGTCAACCGCAGCGAGCGTCTCTGTGTTTACACAAGTTGAACAAACATGGACGCAGCATCGAGCACCTGGAGATTTTAAAGTTCCTCTCGTACCGGAGCCACAACATGAACAACTGACTTGTTTTAAGGAGGAGATTGAGAAGGAGAAGGAGCAGGTTTTTGGTGGTGGTGTTTTGTGGTGAGTGGAGATGTGCTTCACTTCAGTCACATGGATCATGAACAGTTTTCTCTACTTCAGTGCAGAATAGTGACGTTTGTGTCTTGTTGATGACGTGTAGGTGGATGAATGTGACCTGACTGTTCACACTCAAGTCACATGTTAAAGATCAGATATGGATCAGTTTCAGGAGCACAGATCCAAGTGTCCTGGTCACATGTGAAAACATCTGATCTGTGTGGTTCAGACTCACATTAAAAGATCAGATACAGGAACATAGAGACAAAAAATTGGATTTGTGTCACTTCAAGCTGCAGTCTGAACGCAATACGAGTTTGTGTGGGTTGTGCGTCTGACCTGTGCTCTGCTGCAGCTCCAGCAGGGCTTTGATGGTGGAGGTGGCAGACTGAGCCTCTGAGGACAGCTCCTGGTAGATGATGGTGGGACTGGACTCCACGGACACCTCCTGCTCCGTCCACTCCGCCTCACGAGACGAGACCATGTGGACCACGGCCTGGGCCTCTGCACACACCACAGACTCACACTTACACACTGGGGACGGTTACTCAACAGAAAGTGAATTGTGAGCCTCGTCATTTTGGTCTTAAATGTTCATATTAACCCACTCTACATGATCCTGGGGTTTTATTTCACCATTTTGTCCATAAATCAACTTATTATTAACATTAATGACAGACCAATCCGGAGAATCTGTGTGTCGTTCGTTCATTTGTTTTTTAATATAAAACCAAAAAATAAGAAAACGAACAATCAACTATTTTCTTCATTATTTGTCTCCAAAACCAAAATGAAAAATGGATAATGATTTGTTTTTTCAGTTTTTGATTTTGTGTTTGAATAAAAAACTGGAAAAACAGATACATGACTTCCGTGACTGTGATGTCGGACTGAACCAGGACTGATCCAGGTCTGGGGCCGAGACCAGGACCGGACCAGGACCAGACCAGGACCAGAACGGGACCAGATCGGGACCAGACCGGGACTGAGACCGGGACTAGACTGGAGCCTCAGAGCCCAGGGCAGGGCTGGAGGTCGAAGCTGAGGCTCAGACCACGCGGAGGCTCGGAATCAAAGCTCGGAGTCCGCCCTGGTCCCGCTCTGGTCCCAGTCTGGTCCCACTCTGGGCCCTGACCTTGATCAGTCCTGGTTCAGTCCGTACGCGGTGCAAAAGTCCAACATCACAGTCACGAAAGTCACATAAACGGGAAACGGTCGTTCTCCGTTTTTTCCATTTTTCATTTAAACACAAAATTGAAAACTGAAAAAAAAAAAATCTTTATCTGTTTTTTCATTTTGGTTTTGGAGACAAATAATGAAGAAAACCGTTGTTTTTTCGTTTTCTTATTTTTGGTTTTATATTGAAAAACGAACGACACACAGATTCCGGCGCCTTCTTTCCCCGAGGTCGCCGACACGTGAGTGAGAAGCAGGAGGAGGCGTTACCTTCCACAGCCTCGCTCCTGATTGGCTCTTCTGTTGCTCTGAGGCTCTGTTCAGGCTCACGTCACAAAACCTTTAGAAGAAGTTTTGGACTCTGTTGGCGATAACTCTGACAAAATGAATAGAAAATGTCCCCAGTTTTCTTCATCTAGACGCCACTGTACTCTCTGTTTTTTACTTTTATAAACTGCCGATTAATTTGTGTATAATAATTTGTATAATAAAAAAATAAATCAACACATTAAAATAAAATTAATTAATTAAAACAAATAAAATAAAATAAAGAAAGAAAGAAAGATGTCACTGGAGCGTTCCGTTATGTTTGTCAGATCAACAGTTCCAACCAGCTGCCATTTATTCTTCTTCTTCTTATTATTTATTTGAAACATTGGGAGTGAGGAACACAATTTCACTTTCATCAAATGAAAATGGACAATAAACTTTTTGAATTTAATTGAGCTGAAGCTGTGATCAGAGTCCTGTCTCGTGTGGAAACCTTCTGCAGGTTGTGAGACGCTGCAGCTGAATCCAGGGGTTTGTTGTTGTGCTCTGGCTCCTGTGAGCTTCAGGATGGATTTTAAAGTTCTTTTCATTGGTTTATAAATCTCTTAACGTCTCAGTCGTGTTTATTTATCTGATCTGCTTTTATCACACGAGCCTCTCGGACTCTCAGCTCCTCAGGTCTCGACTTTTAACTGTCCCAAGAGTCCAAACTAAAACTCACTTTACGACCGCAGTTTGAGGAACAGTCGACTTGAAGACCTGAGATCCGCTGTAAGTGTTGTTTGTATGTTTTTAATTTAGCTTTTAATTGAAACTTTAACTTGTTTTAACTTAAATTATTATTGTTATTATAATAATTGTTTTAATACTTAGTCTCCATCTGATCGTAACTCTCCATTTTTATTTTTACTATAACCTTTAGACCACGGGTGTCAAACATCCGGCCCATGGACTGGATCCGGCCCTCCAACACCTTTAATCTGGCCCTGGGCTGATTTTCTACTCAAATATTTTAATGATATTTTCTATTAAAATGGTGTTAATTTTCTGTGGTGTTTATCACAGCAGCGTCTCCAGCGTCTCTGTACGTGGCCCCTCCCACCAGAGCAGCACAAATGAAGACTTGTCTCTTTCCAAACGCTCTTAAAGGACGATGGTTTTGACTGTTGACCGTGACACCCTCATCAGAAAAATGTCCAACATGAGAAAAGTGGAGCCGAGTGCAGGATTTTACAACAAAAATGAACTTATTCTGTTTACAGACAAGTTCATGTTCAAACTTTATGTTGAAATTGTATTTTTCTTAAAGTTTCAGGTTGTTCATAATATTATAATATTTTGTAAAAGAAAGAGTTCATCAATTCAAAAAGATTTCTGTAATAGATTTGTGTTTCTCTGCACAAATATTTGAACTTCTTGTTATTTTTGGGGTTTATATGACATGAGTTTTCTGATCCGGACACTTTGGATCAAAGTCGGTTGTAAACGGCCCCCGGACCAAAATGAGTTTGACTCTCCTGATTTAGAGCTTTATGTTCATGTTTCTGTTTAAACTGTTGTATACATGGATGAAACACAAATATACAAATATATAAATATACAATATAAGTTTGATTGATTGTTTTATCACATGCTCAGTGTTGGGAACTACACTGGCAGTTGTCATCCACGTGTTTCCAAACGCCTGAAGAGCCTTTTCCTGAATTGGATCTGGGATCTAAATTGGCTCCTGTAACTGCAGCGTCGATGAGCCTCATTTGACTGTTGGCTGCGGGCGACGTCACGCTCCCTCAGGTCACTTCTATACAGTCTGTGGTCGGACTGAGACGCCTGCACTTATTTCGACAGAGCTCACGCCAGTGTCGTTTCAGTTTCACTTTCACTCGGAGTTTCCCAAAGTGCCCAGAGCGTCGGTGGGGAGGGCATCATTACCAAAGCTCCATCTGATCACACATTTTATAAACAAATCGAGGAGCTGCTGGGTACTTTCTGCTCTTGTGTTGGTGTTTTTTACACTGTGACTTTATCAAACGGTGCTTTATGTTTTTAAGTCATTAAGATTTTGAATATTAAAGTAACAAACCACAGAAGAAGTACTCACTCACATTACATTTATGTGAGTCGCTTTTTAAAGAAATTGTACTTTTCAGAGTAATTTTCTAGCAGCTTACTTTTACTTTTACTCCTACTTCAGTTGGGGATGTAAGATTAACCGTGATTTCATAACGTCAAAAGTCTCACAATAATATCACAATATGTCAAATTACAAGTCTGTTTGTTTAAATTAATCATTACGGTGATTCTGACGTCTTTCTTTGTGATTTTAATGTCTTTTTTATGATTTTAATGTCTTTCTTTGTGATTTTAATGTCTTTCTTTGTGTTTCTAATGTCTATTTGTGATTTTAATGTCTTTTTTTATGATTCTAATGTCTTTCTTTGTTATATTAATGTTTTTTTGTGATTCTAAAGTCTTTTGTTGTGATATTAACGTCTTTCTTTGTGACTTTAACGTCTTTCTTATTCTGTAAAGCTCTCTGAAGTACTTTGTGTATGAACTGTGCCGTACAAATAAACTCGCCTTGACTTGGTGCAGCGACAGTTAAAAACAGAGGGAACTACAGAGACCATGATCCTTTGCTGTTGTCAGCGCAGACGACATGAAGAAATAACTGTTAAGAAGCCCTTTTAAATCTTAATCCTTCATATTATAACAGCACCAAAGACTCTTCCAAGACTTTTCCCAGGTTTGGTTCATAATAAATATCGTATCGTATCGCTGGATTTTGATATTACATCCCTAACTTCGATAAAAAATATTTGAGTACGTTGTGCTTCCTCCATTTTAGTGTCTGTCCTTTAAAAAACACCAGATTTTGGGATTTATTTCATGTTTTCGTCAAATTACAGTCACTTTAAATTATAAATCAGAACGGTTACTCTTTAAAGCCGCACTGTGTAACTTTTCTGGTTGGGCTTTCGTCACCTGTTCGTTTCTATGGAGACGTCGCTGCTCTGTGTCCTGGAATGTTCCGCAGTGCGACATTAAACAGCTCGGCTTCACATTTATTCAGTTCCAGGAGGTTTTAGAGTCAGAAATCCCTAGAAAATCAGACATTGTGAGTGTGAGCGGCGTCGCCTCTCCACAGATCTGACCTGGAACTGCGTCCGGTTTGGTCTCCGTGGAGATAGAAAGGTTTAATGCCGCACTGTGGAACATTCCAGACAAAAAAGCAACAACATCTCACACGTGGAGAAAAGCGTTTGACGGAGCCTCCACCAGAAAAGTGACACAATGAAGGTTTTAAGTCATTTGAATTTGAGCTTTGTTTTTCTACTTGCAAAACTTTATTTAGCTATTTATTTATTATTTTATTATTATATTTATTATTATTACTTTATTTTTTTACTGGTGCACGCTGGTGTTGTCAAAGCTGTGTTCCAGTTTAAGGGAGAAAAAAAAATCCATATATCGAAATATTGTATCGTTTAATGTGATGAGACGGGATCGATATCGTGGGCTGCTGAATCGATTCATCACAGAGAGCATTTTTTTTGGTATATTTTACTAAATTTTCACAGTGTTGAAGATTAAAATGTGTGTGTTTCATATTAAGTTTGGTTCGGTCGCTTTATTCGTACCTGTTGGTGAATTTCTTTTTCAGATTTGAGACGCTGGTCCCACATTTCACTTCATTTCATTCATCCACATTATGAACAATAAACACGAATAAAAACACAGCTACAAAATAAAGTGTTTAAATAAACGGTTTTGGTTCATAATTAATTAAATTAATCCATCACGCTTGGCTAAGATCACAAAAAATATTAAAAATTTTAAAAACACATGATTTTTTTTCCAAGACACGAGACTAAATCCGATAAAGAGAATTTATCTATAAAAATATTTAATAGTATTTTATTTATTTGGGTTTTAAGTTTGCACGAGAGGTAGTTTAGTTGTTTTTTATATTGGACTGTATCAAACTGATTTTAAATAAATATCGTATCGAACCAAAAGTGCAGTGTTTATCGTATCGGCCCCAGTCCAGTTCCACTTTCTGTCCCGTCCTGGTTTTCCCCTCATCTTATCTTCACACACACACACACACACACACACACACACACACACACACACACACACACACACACACACACACACACACACACACACACACACACACACACACACACACACACACACACACACACACACACACACACACACACACACACACACACACACACACACACACACACACACACACACACACACACACACACACACACACACACACACACATCACACACACACACACACACACACACACACACACACACACACACACACACACACACACACACACACACACACACACACACACACACACACACACACACACACACACACACACACACACACACACACACACACACACACACACACACACACACACACACACACACACACACACACACACACACACACACACACACACACACACACACACACACACACACACACACACACACACACACACACACACACACACACACACACAGACACACACACACACACACACACACACACACACACACACACACACACACACACACACACACACACACACACACACACACACACACACACACACACACACACACACACACACACACACACACACACACACACACACACACACACACACACACACACACACACACACACACACACACACACACACACACACACACACACAGAACACACACACACACACACACACACACACACACACACACACACACACACACAGACACACACACACACACACACACACACACACACACACACACACACACACACACACACACACACACAGACACACACACACACACACACACACACACACACACACACACACACACACACACACACACACACACACACACACACACACACACACACACACACACACACACACACACACACACACACACACACACACACACACACACACACACACAACACACACACACACACACACACACACACACACACACACACACACAGACACACACACACACACACAGACACACACACACACACACACACACACACACACACACACACACACACACACACACACACACACACACACACACACACACACACACACACACACACACACACACACACACACACACACACACACACACACAGCACACACACACACACACACACACACACACACACACACACACACACACACACACACACACACACACACACACACACACACACACACACACACACACACACACACACACACACACACACACATCACACACACACACACACAGACACACACACACACACACACACACACACACACACAGACACACACACACACACACACACACACACACACACACACACACACACACACACACACACACACACACACACACACACACACACACACACACACACACACACACACACACACACACACACACACACACACACACACACACACACACACACAGACACACACACACACACACACACACACACACACACACACAGACACACACACACACACACACACACACACACACACACACACACACACACACACACACACACACACACAAGCTCTGGGGTATTTCCTCGATGTTGCCGCTGTTTGCATCATGTAAATAAACCTAATACATAAACAAATGAACCGGATCAAACAGGATCAGTGCTGCAGTGTCCAGAGTCCAGACCTGGGACTTGTCCAGCTCCCGGGGCCACACGGACTTTTGGCTCAGACGGACCAGCCTGTTTAAGATCATTTGGAAATTCAAAATAAATATATATATATATATATTTTTTTTTACCTCATGCAGTCCTGGTTCGGTCCTGGTTCTCGGTCCTGGTTCAGTCCTGGTTCAGTCCTGGTTCGGTCCTGGTTTCGGTCCTGGTTCGGTCCTGGTTCGGTCCTCGTTCAGTCCTCGTTCAGTCTTGGTTCAGTCTTGGTTTAGTCTTGGTTTAGACCTGGTTCGGTCCTGGTTTAGACCTGGTTCAGTGCTCGTTCAGTCTTGGTTTAGTCTTGGTTTAGACCTGGTTCGGTCCTGGTTTAGACCTGGTTCAGTCCTCGTTCAGTCTTGGTTTAGTCTTGGTTTAGACCTGGTTCAGTCCTCGTTCAGTCTTGGTTTAGTCTTGGTTTAGACCTGGTTCGGTCCTGGTTTAGTCCTGATTTAGTCTTAGTTCAGTCCCGGTCCGGTCCTGGTTCAGATCTCTGGTCCTGAGTTTTGGGTAATGGCCAAAAGGACGAGATGAGGGACACAAGTGTTAAATAAGTTTCCTCCTGTAGAGACAGACAGAGGAGCTCAGAGTAGAGCCGCTGCTCGTCCACCTGCAGGAGCAGCTGAGGGGAGGGCATCTGGTCCAGAGTCCAGACTTTAACACCAAAATGAGGAGTCGCTGGAGCAGGAAGCACACACTCTGTGGTTTTGTGGTTCTAGTTCCGTGTTTTACCTTGAGAAGCTCCCGGCGCCGCCTCGGTCAGCAGCCCCGCGCTCTCGTAGGCTCCGGGGGCGGGCTCTTCTCTGGGGCCCCCGTCCTGAGGGGCCCCCGGGTCGGCACAGGCCCGGACCTGCTGCAGCGTCTCTGTGACCAGCTGCCTCGCCTGCTCGCTCACCACGGCCGCCTGGAACACCGGCTTCGGCTTTATCAGCACCTGGAACAAGACAGAACCAAAGAACTGAAACCAGACCAGGACCGAAAAACTGAAACCAGACCAGGACCGAAAAACTGAAACCAGACCAGGACCGAAAAACTGAAACCAGACCAGGACCGAAAAACTGAAACCAGACCAGGACCGAAAAACTTAAACCAGACCAGGACCGAAAAACTGAAACCAGACCAGGACCGAAAAACTGAAACCAGACCAGGACCGAAAAACTGAAACCAGACCAGGACCGAAAAACTGAAACCAGACCAGGACCGAAAAACTTAAACCAGACCAGGACCGAAAAACTGAAACCAGACCAGGACTGAAAAACTTTAACCAGACCAGGACCGAAAAACTTAAACCAAACCAAAAACCCACAAACTTAACAAACTATGAAGAGCCACTAAGCGCCAAAATCACTTTTTTTTTCTGATTCTGTGAGTAAATGTGTCTCAAACAGAAGTGTTTTTCTGCCTCTGGATTTATTTTGGCATTTTCGTGCAGATTTGTTAAAAATGTGACTTTTGGGTCAAAGTCGTGTCTGTAACGGATTCTTTAGGATCAACTACAGACACGACATTTGAATTTCCAGGTTGGACTAACAGGTTGGTTAAACCAGGTTTGGACCGGGTTTGGACCGGGTTTAGATCAGGTTTAGATTAGGTTTAGGTCAGGTTTAGACTGGGTTTAGATCGGGTTTAGATCGGGTTTGGACCGGGTTTAGACTGGGTTTAGATCAGGTTTAGACTGGGTTTAGATCAGGTTTAGACTGGGTTTAGATCAGGTTTAGACTGGGTTTAGACCGAGTTTAGACTGGTTTAGATCAGGTTTAGACTGGGTTTAGACTGGGTTTGGACCGGGTTTAGGCCAGGTTTAGGTTGGGTTTGGATCGGGTTTAGATCGGGTTTGGACCGGGTTTAGACTGGGTTTAGATCAGGTTTAGATCAGATTTAGATCAGGTTTGGACCGGGTTTAGATCGGGTTTGGACCGGGTTTAGACTGGGTTTAGATCAGGTTTAGATCAGGTTTGGACCGGGTTTAGATCGGGTTTGGACCGGGTTTAGACTGGGTTTAGATCAGGTTTAGATCAGGTTTGGACCGGGTTTAGATCAGGTTTAGATCAGGTTTGGACCGGGTTTAGATTGGGTTTGGACCGGGTTTAGGCCAGGTTTAGACTGGGTTTAGATCAGGTTTAGATCAGGTTTGGACCGGGTTTAGGCCAGGTTTAGATTGGGTTTGGACCGGGTTTAGATCAGGTTTAGACCGGGTTTAGGCCAGGTTTAGGTTGGGTTTGTATTGGGTTTACATCAGGTTTAGACGGGGTTCAGAGGGTTTAGTTTCAGACGGTGTTTACATGGAGTTTACATCAGGTTTAAGTCGGGTTTAGATCTACTAACAGCGCCGATGAGTCAGATGCAGGTTTTTACGTCACGAGTCACTGGCGTCTACAGGCGGAACATGAGGAGCGCCTCTCAGCCCCGCCCCCACCTGGCCCCGCCCCCACCTGGCCCCGCCCCCACTGGCACCGCCGTGTCCCGCCGTGTCTGGAGAACAGGGAAACGCCGTGATCCGAGCACAAATGTCCGCTCTGTCGTGTCCGCGCTGTGTTGGATTGTTGCGGCTGTCGGTCGGTTTGTCAATCATCGCCCGCACCTGCACCTGTCAGGCACCGCCCGCACCTGCACCTGTCAGGCACCGCCCACTCTGGAGGATTTTTCAGAGTAAAACTTCAGGAGGGTTTAATGGATCTTTCAAAAGTCCCAGATTCTAAAACTGACTCCTGTGGCTTTTAGTCAAGTTCTTACGCTGTTTCCTCGTCAAAAACGCAGAGCTGCAGTTTTTGTATTTTGTTTCATTCACATGTTTAAGGCACAAACCTGCACATTTAGCACGAGTTCTTCTCTCAAACACAAGAAAACACTCTGTTCCACCTTGTGATGTCATCATGGAGTTTTGTAGATGCAGACAGACTCATAATAAAGATTTACTCAAACATGTGAATGAAACAAACACGACTCCAGCTCTGTTTAGGAACATTAGAACATGACTTGAAGCTCACAGGAGTCAGTTTGTGTGACACAAAATAACTTCTGGTGTTTTTTATTCTTTTGTAATCCACACCGTTTGACTCTGCGTGTTTTCTTCTGTTTACCATCGTCATGACCACGAGCTGAAAGCGCCACACTTCCCTGGATCGTTTTACCCTCCGAGCTGAAACTCGACGCGTACAGCTGCCAGGTTCAACGCGCTCAAATCTAAATCACACTCTGAATGAACTCGATCAGCGACGGGGCGACGGGGCGGGGCGATGGGGCGGGGTGATGGGGCGAGGCCGACCTGCACTCCAGTCAAACGAAGCTCACCGAGTCTCACGGCAACCAAAGAGCCAATCGGGAGCGAGGCTGTCGAAGGTAACGCCTCTTCCCGCCCACAACGCTGTCAATCAATCCTGTTGCTATCGGGAATGACGGCGTCTGATTGGTCTGATTTTAATGTTCAGAGTTTGATTTACGGACAAAATAGTGAAAAAAACACAAAAAACAAACAAGGATCATGTAGAGCGAGTTCACACCAACACTGGCCACGTTTACATGATGTTTTTTAAATTCTGAATTAAAACTTGTTCTGAATTACATAGTTCTGAATAGCGTGTTCCGTGGAGTGTTCTGCGCTGTTTGTGTTCTGTAGAGTGTTCTGTGGTGTGTTCCGTGGTGCGTTTGTGTCCTGTGGCGTGTTCTGTGTCGTGTTTGTGTTCAATGTTCCGTGTCTGTGTTCCGTGTTCCGTGATCCGGGGTCTGACCTGAGTCTTGCCCTGCTGTCCGTACACGATCTTGGTGGGGATGATCTTGGTGGCTGTGGTCTGGGCTCCGGCGCTCAGGCCTTTGGGTTGAGTCACGATCATTTTGGTGATGGGTCTGGAGGCCGTGATGATGGCGGGTTTGGTCCCCTGCACCGCCTGGAGGCTCTTCTCCCCCTGCGCCACACAACGGAACGTCACACAACGGAACGTCACACAACGGAACGTCACACAACGGAACGTCACACAATGGAACGTCACACAACAGAACGTCACACAACGGAACGTCACACAACGGAACGTCACACAACAGAACGTCACACAATGGAACGTCACACAACGGAACGTCACACAACGGAACGTCACACAACGGAACGTCACACAACGGAACGTCACACAACGGAACGTCACACAACGGAACGTCACACAACGGAACGTCACACAACGGAACGTCACACAACGGAACGTCACACAACAGAACGTCACACAACAACACATTACACTATTTTCAGATCTGTGTTCTAAAGGAGTTTCCTCATCACACACAAACCTGGAGTTGAGTTTGAGAACTTCCTCCAGCTCAACCAGGGCAACACCTGAAGCTCAGAGAGTGAGACTCAAAGTTAAACTGTAAACCTCCTCGCTGAACCCTGTGAGAGGGTCAAAAGTTTAGGAGTTATTCTGGATAGTGAGCTCAGTTTTGGAGCCTCACATCAGGTCCATCACTAAATCTGATTTTTATCATCTAAAAAATATTGCCAGAGTCAGAACATTTCTCTGTCAGAGCAGAGACTTTGATACGTGTTTTTATTACAAACTGTGATGATTACTGTAATGTTCTCCTTTCTGCTCTTCCACAGAAAACTACAGCTCCTCCAAAGATTCTCCAAAACTCTACAACAGCAGCTCCTCCAAAACTCAGCTTCAGGAGAGATTTTAAAGTTCTTTTATTGGTTTTTAAAGCTCTTAGGTCTGTTTATTCTGATCTGTTTTTATCACACGAGCCTCTCGGACTCTCAGCTCCTCTCGTCTCGTCTTTTAAATGTCCCACGAGTCCAAACTCAAACTCACGCCGAGTCGTTATTCAACTTTTATGGCCCGTGTCTGTGGAACAGTCGACCTGAGGACCTGAGGTTCACTGCGAGGGTTCAGATTTTTAACAGTAAACTCAAAACGTATCTTTTCAATTTAGCTTTTAATTGAAACTTACTTGTTTTAACTTAAATTGTTATTATTAATTAATAGTAATAATAATTTGGAAGCTTAAAAAAAAACTGCAGTGCGGATTTTTCTTCTTCTGTACAGTTTTTGTTTTTGGACGCAGCAGAAGTCGCAGTTTTTGTTGGATGTGAAGGTCTCCATCTACTAGGACTGGGTATCATTAAGAAGTTGCCGATACGATACATACCTCAATACAGTGAGATTTCAATTCAATACAATATATATCAAACCGATTCGATACAGTTCAATAAAAATAAAGGCTAAATCATGTCTGTGATACTAAAAGTCTTTGTTACACCACTTTTTGTGCAAAGTTCATATGAAACACAAACATTTTAATCCTCAAAACAGTGAAAATGTCAAATGTGTCGCATAAAAAAGTTTCCTTCCTCTAAACAAGCACCAAAACTGTAGCTGTAACAAAATAATTTAGTAAAATATACCAAAAAAATACTCTTGGCGATATATCGATACAGCAACCCACAACATCGATACTGTATCATCACATTAAGCGATACAATATATCGATATTTCAATATTTTTGCAAACCCCTACCACTGATACAAGAAGTGCTCCACTGTGTTTTTAAACTCCACACATCTTCACTAGAATCATCTGGATCATTTTTATTTTCAGTGCTGGAGTTGCCGATTTAAAGCTGCTGAACTAAAGGGAAAAGGAAACTAAAAGCTTCATGACATCACAAGGTGGAGCAGAGTGTTTGTGATGTAGAAAGACTCAGAATAAAGATTTACTCAAACAAACATGACTCCAGCTCCGATTGTGACGACTGATTAACATTAGAACATGATTTAAATCCCACAGGAGTCAGTTTTGTGCAACATGAAACGTTTAAAAAAATCTAATCGACCCAAATCTAAAACGCTGCCGCTCAGTTTTTCGTGTGTTTGGAGAGTAAACCACTTTACCTTGAGTATTTTGAATTCTGTGAGTTTTAGACCAGGACGCAGTGAGATTTACAAAACACAAACAGAACACTGGTGACCCCTGGTGGACAGTTAAAGCCAACACGTCTCAGCCACTTCGACTCTAACACACACGTTAACCAGCACTGTCAAAAAGTTTTAAGATCATCTAAAAACAAGAAAAAAAAATGTTTAAAAGTGATTTAAAAAGCAAGTTTTAATTTTCTTGTGGTCAGAGCGTTCGTGGTTTTGTTCAGGAGTTTGGTTTGAAACTAAAAGGTGAGAGTGAAATACTGCTGGATAACGCTCGTGTAATTTTCAGAGTTGGGATCGAGTTGTCGTTTTACGAGTCTAGAGTAAATCTCCAAGTCTTTGATCTCAAGTCAAAGTCAAAAGACAAGGCAAGTCCAAGTCGAGTCTCGAGTCACCCTTAAGTTTGGGTGACCAGATTTTCAGAATCAAAACAGGGACAGTGGTTTGTGGAAGTTGGCAATATTAAAATTGTGAAACGAGGGCAAAATTAAGGAAAACTGTTCTAACATGAGTCAGTGTCGTCACATTTTCTTTGTGTTTTGTCGTTTTGAAGCAGATTTTCTGTATTTTACCCAAATAAATGTCAGTTTGTCTCTCTTTACTGTTGCAGGATCAGATTGGTCCAAAATAGAGACTCTGGGACATTTCTTATATAAACTGGGACAAATCAGTGGTTTTGTATAAATCTTCTGGGACAAAAGTGGGACTGTCCCGGGGAAACAGCGACGTCTGGTCACTCTACCTTAAGCCCAAGTCCAAGTCGTCTGCTTTGAGCTTCAAGTCATTTCAAGTCTGTAGATATTTGCTATTTACATGAATTTTAACCTAAACTGTACTCGAAAAGTCATGGTATATTTATATAAGAGTTGTAGAAATGCACATTTTTCTTTTTTAAAAGTCAGAACAGAAAGAATTCAGATTTAAAAGTGGACAGATCATGTTCTGTAGTTCCCTGTGTTGTACTTTATATTATTGTAGTACTTTTGAGTATCACTGTACTTCAATTCCATCCAAAGTACCAAACAGAAGTGGGAGGGACATGTTCCAGTTTGTTTCTTTAAAATTCAGCTCCACATTTATCAACTGTAAAGAGAAAAGTATTTTATAAAACATTGATTTTTTTTTTTTTAGGAGAAGCACAAAGTCTTCTCAAGTCACAGGGTTTAAGTCCAAGTCCCAGTTCACTGAGCTTCAAGTCCAAGTCAAGTCTCAAGTCCTAAAAATAGTGACTCAAGTCTGACTCGAGTCCAAGTCACGACTTGCGGGTCCCAAACCTCTGGTAATTTCCAGGTTTGTGCTGTTTAAAAGTGTGAAAAACAGACCTGGAGCTGACTTAAGTAACTCTTCATTATTAGTCTGTCTACATCTCCAAACGCTCTGTTCAACCTCGTGATGTCATGAAGTGGTGGTTTTCACGTGAACAGCTCTGAAACACATCTCCAGGTGTGTCTGTGATGAGGAAACTGCACTACACACACAAAGACACAGATGAGAGGAGAGCGGCGTGTTGAAGCGTGACTGACCCCGGCGTTGAGCAGAGTCGTGACCACGTTCTTGCCCGGCAGACCCTGGATGGTGGCTCCTTTCCCCGTGGTCTTCTGCACCACGATCACGTTGGGTTTGGACGTCATGGGGATGGTGGTGATCTTCGTGGTGGTGCCTTCAGTCACAACACAACACAGAGCTGTTATTATACTGTACACATACACATACTGTAAACATTATGGAGTTTTGGGCTGTAGATGAATCCACAGCTTCAAACGACATCACAACATTCTAGACGAAACATTATGAATTTATTTTAAAGCCATGTTTACACAGTGTTTTTTTAATTCTGAATTAAACACTTCAAAATTCAAATCTTCTCTTGTCGTTTCCATGTAAATAATAAAGTTGAATTGTAGAGCCCGACCGATATGGATTTTGCTGTGGCCGATATAATGGGAGTTGGAGCTGCCGATATAATCGCCGATATATTTAGTGAGGTAAAAATTCACTGTAAATGTTGAATTGTTTAAAAAACTTTGGTTTGGCTCAAGTGGATTTTAAATTGGGTTTATTTACGAAACATTTATTGTTATTCTGACTCTTTACATCATATTTACAGACAGAAGTTCGGCCTAATGACATTTTTGCATCACATTCTAGACACTAGTGATGGGGATTCCAGTTCTTTTTAGAGAACCGGCTCTTTTGGCTCGGCTCACTAAAAGCTGCTGGTTCTTTCGGCTCCCAAGCGGCTCTTCAGATTGTTTTGTTGCAAGCAGGACTAAACCAGAACTGAACCAGGACTGAGTGTCGGGACTCGGTCTCCATCTCGTGCCTAAGATTAGTCCTGGTTTATTTATTTTATGCTGAACTACATGATTTATGATTATTTATGTTTTGATTTGTTTTTATTATGATTTTAATGTATTTCTTGTTCTGTAAAGCACTTTGAATTACTTTGTGTACGAATTGTGCTGTACAAATAAACTTGCCTACAGCCAAATATGCACGTTTTTTCTGTCCTATGCACACGCAGGTTTCGCACCGCTGTCCAACTCCCACGAGTCTGCGCGTGACGTAAAGAGAAAGAAAGTGAGAGAAAGAGAAAACACGACTCCCAATCGTTCGCTTCAAAGAGCTGCTCCGTTCACGACCGACTCATCACTACAAGCTAGTAAAGAATCTAGCGCTATTAGCCTTTAGCCGTAAATGCTGCGCGCCGCGGTAATTAATTATATGAGCAAATGTCATAATTCACACGTCTATTCACAGCTCATTTACATCAGTGCAGGTCCAGTAACAAATATACGACCAATATAATCACTTTACAATAGACCAATAGAAAACAGACTGTTTATGTGAGAGACACAGCAGAAAATCAATAACAAATAGTCGACATATTTCAACACTCAGCCTCACACAGGCTCCTCCCACATCACAAGTCTGAACTAATAAATGTCCTTTTAATCCAGACTCACACCGATTGTCCGTATAAAGAAAATAATCTCAGTGTTGCGCACATGGATCTATGTCTGCGGATGTAACTCTGCGACTCTGTGGTGTGTTCAGGGACAGTACGACACACACAGACAAATGACTCCGTACTGATGGACATTAATCTGTCTGTAAAGTGGATTAAATGAACAGAATGTAGAGAGTCTAAGATTTATAACGACGTATCACGTGCCCACGCGAAATATCGGCCCCTATAAGCAATCATATCAGCCGATAATATCTGCCAACCGATATATCGGTCAGTCTCTATTGAATTGTTGTTTTCGTGTTAAACTGGTGAAATGTTTTTTATTTAAAGTGTCTCAGCGTTTGGGGAGAAGGTTCTGATTGGACAGAGACGCCAACGGATTTACGTCTTTGTGAAGAAAACACAAACTTCACCTGCTCCCGGCTTTTCATTTTTATTCAGAATTAAATTATTTTTATTCAGAATTAAAACTCATGTAAACGTGGCAAATGTGCAACTTTTCTGGTGAAACTAGAAATGTTATTACTTTGTCTGGAATGTTCCACAGTACGGCATTAAACATTTCTTTTATATTTTATACAGTATTTGTTTGTTCATTTAATTCATAAATTATAAAAAGACATGAACAGTGTCATAATATTAAACGTACAAGAAATGAATGAAAAAGAGCCGTAGAAGAATCGTTTCATGTTCACTGCCGTCTCTTCCAGACAAAACTTTAACACTCGTGGTTTGCAAAAGTATCTAAATATCGTATCGTTTCATGTGCTGATTCAGTATCGATATCGTGTGCTGATTCAGTATCGTATCGTGTGCTGATTCAGTATCGATATCGTGTGCTGATTCAGTATCGATATCGTGTGTTGATTCAGTATCGATATCGTGTGCTGATTCAGTATCGATATCGTGTGTTGATTCAGTATCGTATCGTGTGTTGATTCAGTATCGATATCGTGTGCGGCAGGCTCCTCACCGGACACGATGTTGCTGCTGATGATCTTCCCCCCCAGCGTGGCGAGAGACTTGGGCACGACGGTGATGATGCTGCCGCTGGTGGTCTTCACGTACGTGGCCCCGCCCCCCGACGCCGAGAGCCTGGCGCCGAGGCTCGGGCTCACGGTCGGCCGCGTGTACGTCGCCTGTGAGGCTGAACAACAAACCCACATCAGATTAGAGTCGCACCGCTGATACTGAGCCGCGACGTCACGCTGGGGGTGTTCTGTGTGGATGTCTATGGTGGAATGTTCAGCTGTTACCATGGAGACACAAGGCGCACTGTTACATCATCACTTTTGTATTTCAGCTCGAGTTTCCAGACGATCTAAAGTCAGGTTTGTTAAAGTGTGCGTTGTGTCTCCGTGGTAACAGCTGAACTTTCCACCATAGACATCCATGCAGAGCAGCGGCGTCGGTGTCGTGGCGTCGGCGGCGTCTCACCCGTGGGCTGCGTGACCAGCTTGGTGGTCATGATGGCGCCGTTGCTGCTGACGACCATGATGGGGGAGGAGCTGCTGCTGGACAGAGCCACAGACGGTTTGGGAAGAATCTTCGACGGCTGAACCTGCTGCGTGATGATCTTCACTCCTGACACACACGAACTCAGGTCAGTGAGGGGCTCAGGTCAGGGTGAGGAACTCAGGTCAGGGTGAGGGGCTCAGGTCAGGGTGAGGGGCTCAGGTCAGGGTGAGGAACTCAGGTCAGGGTGAGGAACTCAGGTCAGGGTGAGGAACTCAGGTCAGGGTGAGGGGCTCAGGTCAGGGTGAGGAACTCAGGTCAGGGTGAGGAACTCAGTCAGGTCAGTGTTGTGAGGGGCTCAGGTCGGTGTTGTGAGGGGCTCAGGTCGGTGTTGTGAGGAACTCAGGTCGGTGTTGTGAGGGGCTCAGGTCGGTGTTGTGAGGGGCTCAGGTCGGTGTTGAGAGGGGCTCAGGTCGGTGTTGTGAGGGGCTCAGGTCGGTGTTGTGAGGAGCTCAGGTCGGTGTTGTGAGGAGCTCAGGTCGGTGTTGAGAGGAGCTCAGGTCGGTGTTGTGAGGAGCTCAGGTCGGTGTTGTGAGGAGCTCAGGTCGGTGTTGTGAGGAACTCAGGTCGGTGTTGTGAGGAATTCACATCAATGTGAGGTGGTCTCCCCATCGCTCTGTGCCCTCCCCTCGCCCCTCCCCTTGCCCCTCCCCTCCCCCCTCCCCTTGCCCTGTGCCCGCCCCTTGCCCCTCCCCTTGCCCCTCCCCTCGCCCTATGCCCTCCCTGTGCCCTGTGCCCTGCCGTACCTGACTCCTGTTTGATCTGGATGGTGGGTTTGGCTCCCGGGGAGGCGCTGGTGCCCGGGCTCTGGCTGACGCTGGCGCTGCCCACGGGGGGGCTCTGCTGCAGCGGTTTGGGGGGCTGCTGTTTGGGCAGCTGGGCGAGGATCTGAGAGGGAGCGCCCACCAGGGTCTTGGGGGAGGGCAGACGCGCCGCCGCCACCTTCACGCCAGCAGAGGGCACCGCTGCGGGAACGAGCACAGAGGCCAGAGTCAGAAGAAGAAGACGACATGTGTGCATTTGTGTGTCTGTGGTTCTGACGGCGCCGGTTAGAGTTAAATTTAGAACATTTTAAATCAAAATACTGAACTAAAACGACTTCATAAAGACACAAGTGCGACGACTTCAGTGTTAGAAAACTGTGATGGACAAAAGAGCTTTTCACGACGTCTGAAGTGTCTCGATGTAGGTTTGTGGAACTTCTGGTTAATGGTTTTATGTGTAAATGTGTGTAAGTATGTAAATGTGTGTGTATGTGTGTGTAAATGTGTGTGTAAGTGTGTGTGTGTAAAGTGTGTGTGTGTAAATGTGTCGTATTCTCCAGCAGCTTCATAAATCTGCTCCATCACCAAATCTTCAACCAACACAAAAAGATAAACATTCTTCATAAACAATTAATCCACAACCGTCAAGAGAAGAAAGAACAAAACTTAAAGGAAACAGCGACTGGACTTACGACTGAATTATACTTCTGCGTCTACTCTTGACTTTTGATTTATGGCTCTGTGTCGAGGTCTGTGCGCTGCCAAGTAATTCACCGCCACAGATCAGGAACTATGAAAGTCCGACTATCGCTCCTCCCCCCGCCCCTCCTGAGAAAGCACAGGCTCCGCCCTCCAAACGTGACGTAGGCGACGAGTGAGCCGCCCTTCCTCCGCCGTGTCAGGGAGGGAGGGGGAGACAGGCGTGACCCTGACAGCGGCAGGAATAAACTTTTATTCATCATGGAGACACAGCGCGTTCAGCCGCACGTGTTGGACCCGGAATTGGACGAGGACTTTGAGGAGCACGAAGCTCAAGCACTAAGGGTGTGCAAAAATATCGGAATATCGATATATTGTATTGTTTAATGTGATGATATAGTATCGATATCGTGAGCTAACGTATCGATATATCACCAAGAGTATTTTTAGGTGGGTTTTACTAAATTATTTTGTTACAGAGCTACAGTTTTGTTGCTTGTGGAGTGAAAGGAAATTCATTTATGTGACACATTTGACATTTGCACTGTTTTGATGATTAAAATGTTTGTGTTTCATATGAACTTTGCACAAGAAGTGGTTTAACAAAGACTTTTAGTATCACAGCCATGATTTAGCCTTTGTTTTTTATTGAACTGTATCAAATCGATTTGAAATATATCATATCGAATCGAAAGGGCAGTGTATTGAGATATGTATCGTATCGTGGCCTGTGTATCGAGGTATGTATCATATCGGCAACTTCGTAATGATACCAGCCCTATCAAGCACCGCGTCCACATCAACTGAACATTACTGATTGGTAAAGTATTAATAAACACTAGTAGATCAACTTATTATATCGTGTTCACTGCAGTGTAGAACAATGAGCAGGACGGGGTGGAGGCGGTGGAGGCGGGTGTTTGTGTCATAGGTGAATCTGCCACGTCATCGTTGTAGCAGCTTTAGTTCGTTGTCACGTGGGAGGGCGGCAGAAATACGCTGCAATTTGTTAAAAAAAAAGCCGAATCAATCGAAAAACCACTTCAGTGACAAATCCAAGGCCCACACATCACTCTTAGAAGGTAGAAAGATCTGAGAAGTTAATTTTGCATGAGATGGACCCTTTAAGACGTTGACTCCCTCAGGGTTCAGAGGGTTGAGTTCTTTGAGATTCGGATGTAGCTCTAGTGAGTTCTATGGAGTCTGTCCCAAATGTGCTTCTACAGACTGTATCTGGGATTACTAACAAACAAAATAAAGATTAAACTTTCTCTACAACGAATGTCGGGAGAACTGACTCGGATTTATCCACCACCGACATGCAGTCAAACGCGGTATAAACCTGTACTGGACCAGGTCAGGTTCTTATAGTACGTTTCCACGACGACTGACTCGAGGTTTAGATGAACTCTAAGTTTGGACTAAACCTGCCAGAGGAAACTCACATGGAGCCACGGTGGACATGAGCACGGAGGGGGAGGAGGAGACCACGGTCGTCACGGCGATGGTGTGGGAGGGGCTGGAGCTGGCGGGGAAGACGACGGTCTGTTTGTGCGAGGGCGGGGTCAGCGCGGCCGACGAGCTCAGCTTGGACATGGCGGCGCTGTTGTGGGCGTGGGACTTGGACAGGATGTTGGGGACGAAGCCGGAGCTGGGGGACGTGGTCACGATGATCACCTGCAACGCAAAAGGTCAAAACTTCAAACCCGTTCTACGCTTAAAGCTCGTCTTTGCTCCTTTTTCTACAGCTAAGACTCATCTCACACTGAGTGATGTCACAATGTGAGGCTGACCTTCTGTGTGGTGGTGTTGGTGAGTTTTGGGGACTGACCTTCTGTGTGGTGACGCATTGGTGAGTTTTGGGGACTGACCTTCTGCATGGTGGCATTGGGGAGTTTTGGGGACTGACCTTCTGCGTGGTGGCATTGGGGAGTTTTGGGGACTGACCTTCTGCGTGGTGGCGGTGTTGGTGAGTTTAGGGGACTGACCTTCTGCGTGGTGGCGTTGGGGAGTTTTGGGGACTGACCTTCTGCATGGTGGCGGTGTTGGTGAGTTTAGGGGACTGACCTTCTGCGTGGTGGCAGTGTTGGTGAGTTTAGGGGACTGACCTTCTGCGTGGTGGCGTTGGTGGTCTGGATGGTGGGTTTGGTGAAGGTGATCTTGACAGGGGACAGGTGCGGTGGCAGGGAGTTCGCAATGCTCTGCATGATGGTGCCCATCTTGGGGCTGGCGCTGACGGGCACGCTGATGCTCTTGGAAGGAGGAGGAGACACTTTGGACACCTCCTTCAGGACGACGGGCGGAGAACCGGACGAGCTGGTTCTTCTGCGCTTACGAGGCTTCTCCTCTTCATCAGAGCAGCTCACACCTGCAGCAACACAACAGTTACACACAACTGATATACACACAACAGTTACACACAATTGATATACACACAACACAAGAGTTACACACAACTGATATACACACAACACAAGAGTTACACACAACTGATATACACACACCGCAAGAGTTACACACAACTGATATACACACAACGCAAGAGTTACACACAACTGATATACACACAACACAAGAGTTACACACAACTGATATACACACAACACAAGAGTTACACACAACTGATATACACACAACACAAGAGTTACACACAACTGATATACACACAACGCAAGAGTTACACACAACTGATATACACACAACGCAAGAGTTACACACAACTGATATACACACAACACAAGAGTTACACACAACTGATATACACACAACAGTTACACACAACTGATATACACACAACAGTTACACACAACTGATACACACACAACAGTTACACACAACTGATATACACACAACAGTTACACACAACTGATATACACACAACACAACAGTTACACACAACTGATATACACACAACAGTTACACACAACTGATATACACACAACTGATATACACACAACACAACAGTTACACACAACTGATATACACACAACTGATATACACACAACACAACAGTTACACACCTGAGATACACACAGACAACAGAGTAAAAACACATTTTCGTGTGTGTGTTTTGTTATTGTAAATACACTTTTCCTCACCTCCTGCTCTTAGGTGAATCACACGTTTCATTACTTTCGAGAAACACTCAAAACCTTTTTAAGAATCGTCATTAATATGTTTCCTGTCTGTCCTAAACATTTTTTATCTTCAGATCAATATATGTAAAATGTTTATCTTACGTACTGTGTGACGTGGGTTATTCCCTCCTTACTATGATGCAACGATTTTCGATATAGTATTGAATCGTCGGATCCTGGTGTCCTGATATGATCCTGGTGTTGGTGCATCTACGTACTGTCCCTGCTGGAGGGGGCAGAGTGGGAGGAGCCTCGTACTGTCTCTGCAGGAGGGTCTGATAGTCTTATAGTGTCTCTACATTCTGTGTGAAGAGTCGACTGGTTTATTATCAAATTTAAAACAGTCTGAGCTCTGATTTTCACTGAAGAAAAATGAACTAAACACTTCAGAAATAAACTCCAGCTGTGCACCAGTGTGTGTACTCTGTGTGTGTGTGTTTTTTTCATTAATATCATAGTGTTTTTATATTTTACTCATTAGGAGAAAAAAATACATGAGATTTTTTTTTGCATCTTAAAATGTATGAAAATATCAAATAGTGGGAAAACTGTATTGTTGCAGCTGGAGTGTGTCAGTGCGACTCGTCAGCGCGACTCGTCAGTGCGACTCGTCAGCGCGACTCGTCAGCGCGACTCATCAGCGCGACTCACTCTTGACGTAGACGGTGCTTCCGCTGGGCAGCACCACCACGTTGGAGGAGGGGCTGGGGGGCCGGGGGGACTTGACCGTGGCCCCGATCACGGCGCCCGAGGCCGTGGCACAGCTGGGGGTCCCTGTGGTGCTGGTGTACGAGTAACACACCACCACTGAAACACAAACACACACACACACACACGTACTCAACCTCCTGTGAGCGACTAACAGACCTACTGAAACCTGCGTGAAGTGACGTTACGCTGGAGGTGTCCTACGTGTAGCTCTATAACGGAATGTTCAGCAGTTACCATGGAGACACAATGCACACATGAGCAAACACAAGCTGGTGAGTTTTTAAATGTCTGAAAACTCAAGAAAAAAAAAAATCAAAAAAGTCAGCTAAGTCAGCTCTTTTATGGTCAGATTATGTTCAAATAAAGGTCAGATTCGTTTTTTTCGGACTAAAAGTCACACTTAAAATCCTTTAATTTTCTCATAAATCAACAGTACACCTAACTTCTGGTTGTGTTATTGACCTCGAACAGATTTTCTGTGGTACATGGCGCTCAAAAATCTGTCAAAATGTTTTAGTAAGACTTTAGTAAAACTATAAAGTCGCACCGCTTGATGGATTGTCTGAGCATTACGGCCGCTGGACTTCGTGGAGTAAAACACATTCACCAAGTCAGGGAGGCGATGCCAGGCGAGTTACACCACGATCTGCCGATGGATCGTGGACACTTGGGCTCAGGGATCAGCCTCAAGTGTCGTCCGTGCTTCACGAAGACCGAATCATCACTGAACAGAGAAGTAACAGCGACGAGACTCGGATAACGACAAGAGGATCCGGGCTTGACGCCGAAATCGCCCAAAACTCAGACACTGAAGATGTAGAGTCTGATGGATTTGTGGAAGAGGAATGAAGTGAAAAATTGAGTGGTTCAGTATTTTTTGTGTTACTGCTGTTGAATGTGAAGTTTCTGTAAATGAGCTGAGGAAATTTGGACTTATCTGACTGTTTTGTTTTGCTTAATGTGCCTTATAATACGGAGCACTTTATAGTCTGAAAAATATGATAAAGTCTAAAGGTTCGTTCACACCAAAGCGTCAAATCGTCCAGTTTCTGTGTAAAGTCGATGTGGACGCGCGACTAGAGCCTCCTGCGTTTTTGCGGCGCATCTTTGGCGTCAGCGCGGCGCGAATCTGGCGTAGACGTGGCGCGTCTTGAGCGTTTTGGCATCAGCGGTCGAGACGCGCGTCCAAGGTGTCAGCGTCAACTTTTACCAATCAGGGACGAGTATCCAGAGACGCAGCGACGTTCTTATCAGGAAGAAAATCCCCAGAACCAGAACGAGAACCACAAACATGAACGGAACATAAATATATACACCACAATCACCGAGACGATCACCAGGACTACACCAGGACCGGACCGGGACTAAACCAGGACTGGACCGGGACTAAACCAGGACTGGACCAGGACGAAACCAGGACTGGACCGGGACGAAACCAGGACTGGACCGGGACTAAACCAGGACTAGACCGAGACTAGACCCTGAATAGACTGAGACTAAACCACGACTAGACCGGTATTAGACCAGGACTAGACGGTATTAGACCAGGACTAGACCGGTATTAGACCAGGACTAGACCGGTATTAGACCAGGACTAGACCGGTATTAGACCAGGACTAGACCGGTATTAGACCAGGACTAGACCAGGACTGATCCAGTGTCATTAGTGGAGTATAAATATAAACTGGCTCCAGTCGTCGAGTCGATTTCCTCCGCTGATGTTTTATGTGATAAAAACACTAAAGTCTCTCAGTCTGGTCTGACATTGTTTCGGGAAAAGACCAGGACCGGGCTCTTGTTTCCAGGACAACGGACGCACGTCAAGTATTTTTGTCCCGTTCGTCCACGGTGTCAAAGCGTCGGTGGCGCCTAAACTCAGATGCAAAGGCTCCAAGTAGAGACGTCAAGGTGTTTTTTGACGCTTTGGTGTGAACGGCCCTTTACAGAGCTTCAGACAGAGCAGTGCCTCAGTTAGCATTAGAGCCCGACCGATATGGATTTTGTTGTGGCCGATATGAAACCGATATAATGGAAGTTGGAGCTGCCGATAGCCGATATAATCACCGATATATTTAGTGATGTAAAAATTCACTGTAAATCTTGAATTGATTAAAAAACTTAGGTTTGGCTCTAGTGGATTTTAAATTGGGTTTATTTAGGAAACATTTATTGTTATTTTGACTCTTTACATCATATTTACAGACAGTAGTTTGGCCTAATGGCATTTTTGCATCACATTCTAGCTACTAGTGATGGGTATTCCAGTTTTTTTTGTTTTTTTTTGGAGAACCGGCTCTTTTGGCTCGGCTCACTAAAGCAGCTGGCTCTTTCGGCTCCCAAGCGACTCTTGAGATTGTTTTGTTGCAAGCAGGACTAAACCAGAACTGAACCAGGACTGAGTGTCGGGACTCGGTTTCTATCTCTCTCCTGCACTCGAGCCCAAGATTAGTCCTGGTTTATTCATTTTATGCTGAACTGCAGCCAAATATGCACTTTTTTTATCCTATGCACACGCAGATTTCTGAAAGTTTCGTTTTTAGCCGCTGCTGCTGTCAAACTACGGGTCGACATGCGGCATGAAGAGAAAAAGTGAGAAAAAGAGAAAACACGGCTCCCAATAAGAAGCAGGCTCCCGTTGTTCGCTTCAAAGAGCCGAATCTAAGAGCCGCTTCGACTGACCCATAACTCCTAGCTAGTAAACTATCGCTATTAGCCTTTAGCCGTAAATGCTGCGCAAAGCGGTAATTAATTATATGCATAAATGTGGATCATTCACACGTCTATTCACAGCTCATTTACATATCAATACTGGTCCAGTAACAAATATACGGCCAATATAAACACTTTACAATAGACCAATAGAAAACAGCCTGTTTATGTGCGGGAGCTACAGCAGCTAATCGCTAACAAAACCTAAACTAGCTTCAAAGTCGATGTATTTCCAACACTCACCGCTCACACAGGCTCCTCCCACATCACACAGGCTCCTCCCACATCACAAATCTGCACTAATAAATGTCCTTTTAATCCAGACTCAAACCGATTGTCCGAAAAAAGAAATAATCTCAATGTTGCGCACGGCTGCGGGTGTAAACAAACACACGCGAGTGAAGTGACGTGACTCTGTGGTGTGTTCAGGGACAGTACGGACACACACACACAGACAAATTACACCGCAGATAAATACTGATGTGGAGTCACATATTAGGACATTTATCTGTCTGTAAATTGGATTAAATGAACATAATGTAGAGAGTCTAAGCTTTATAACGAGGTATAACATGCCCACGTGAAATATCGGCCCATATCAGCAAGTATATCGGCCGATAGCCGATATGTCTCCAGGTGCCCATATTGGCCGATAATATCGGCCAACCGATATATCGGTCGGGCTCTAGTTAGCATCACACCATCAGGAAACGTTGATGACGCCTAAACGCCTAAACAGGACCGTGAACACTCGTACTGATCACAGGCAGTGTTTTCTCATGTTTGCATTGTGTCTCCGTGGTAACCGCTGAACATTCCACCATAGAGACACACGTAGAACACCCCCAGCGTGACGTCACTGCGTCTGTCAAACGCCGGTGAAGACGTGACCCACCTTCTTTGTTTCCCGTCTGCGCGGGAAGCAGCAGCGTGGCGTTCTGGTTGGCGGTGGCGCTGGCCACGGCGTTGGCGGAGACGGTGAACGCCGTCTGAGGCACGAGCCGCGGCATGAGCGGGACCAGGCGCCGCCCCTCTATCGACCACTCCGACGAGCTGTTCGGGCCCGACATGCTGCGAGGGAACAACAGAACACACGCGTCAAAGCTAACGCTAACGCTACAAACAGGAAGTGAGCGCGGACGCACTTCAGGCTCCATGGACTCTGGCTCCAGTTCACTCTGTACTGAAAAAGCGTGGCCCTTTTCTCTGTATCTGCAGCTGTCACACTCCTCACTTTGGACTTTAAATGTTCATATTAACCTGCTCTACGTGATCATGGTTTTATTACATTATTTTCTCCGTAAATCAAGATCTGAACATAAATATCAGACCAATCAGACGCGTTCGTTCCCATTAGTAACAGGTTTGATTGACAGCGTTGCTAAGCACCTGATTGGCTCTTTGGTTGCTATGATACTCTGATATGATACTATACTATGGTACTATGTGTGTGTGTGTAGGCCTGTGTGTGTGTCTAGGCCTGTGTGTGTGTATAGTGTGTGTGTGTATAGTGTGTGTGTGTGTGTGTGTATAGGTGTGTGTGTGTAGTGTGTATATGTGTGTATATAGGCCTGTGTGTGTGTGTGTGTGTGTGTGTATGTGTGTGTGTGTGTGTGTGTGTGTGTGTGTATAGTGTGTGTATAGGCCTGTGTGTGTGTGTGTGTGTGTGTGTATATGTGTGTGTCTGTGTGTGTGTGTGTGTATAGGTCTGTGTGTGTATAGGCCTGTGTGTGTGTGTGTGTGTGTGTGTATAGGCCTGTGTGTGTGTGTATATGTGTGTGTGTATAGGCCTGTGTGTGTGTGTGTGTATAGGTATAGGCCTGTGTGTGTGTGTATAGGCCTGTGTGTGTGTATATGTGTGTGTGTGTGTATAGGCCTGTGTGTGTGTATAGGTCTGTGTGTGTGTATAGGTCTGTGTGTGTGTATAGGTCTGTGTGTGTGTATAGGCCTGTGTGTGTGTGTGTGTGTGTGTGTGTATAGGCTGTGTGTGTGTGTCTGTGTGTGTGTGTATAGGTCTGTGTGTGTGTGTGTGTGTGTATAGGTCTGTGTGTGTGTATATGTGTGTGTATAGGTCTGTGTGTGTGTATAGGTCTGTGTGTGTGTATGTGTGTGTGTGTATAGGTCTGTGTGTGTATAGGCCTGTGTGTGTGTATAGGTCTGTGTGTGTATAGGTCTGTGTGTGTAGGTCTGTGTGTGCGTGGACTCACTGGTAGGCGATGGTGGTGAGGCGTTCATCGTTCACAGCTCTGCGGACCTCAGCGCGATGACGCTCTGTGGAAATCCTGACAAAGGAAAAAAAAAATCATCAGACGACGGCTGAAACCACAGAGCTCAGTACTGCCCCCTGCTGTACATAAACCACAGAGCTCAGTACTGCCCCCTGCTGTACATAAACCACAGAGCTCAGTACTGCCCCCTGCTGTACATAAACCACAGAGCTCAGTACTGCCCCCTGTGAGCTTCAAGTCATGTTCTAATGTTCCAAAGTTCCAATGTTTCCTCTGGGGAAACATTGGAACTTTCCGCTGGGGTTGTGTTTTGTTTTGTGACGAGGAAACAACATTAGAACAGAAAATAACATGATATGGGCCTTTAAAAGTTATATTATGTAACTTTCTGGAGGTGGCCTGTGACCTGCATGATTCCATTTTGGTCCAAATGTAAAAACGCTCTGGTCTAGTTTGACGTGCAGCTCCACAGGAGGAGCCCACAGTCTGCGGCGCTTTGTTGTCATGATGTTTACGACCACGTCAGCTCACAGTTTTCTAATGCTGAAGTCGTCGTGTTTGTTTCTTTATGAAGTCGTTTTAGATCAGCATTGTGATTTAAAACGTCACAATCAGGAGTCACAAATCGATCACAGTGTTAAAGAGCAGGTACCCCAGGATCTTGGTGAGTTCTCCCAGCAGGTCCTTCTTGTCCTTCGTCAGGTCTCCCTGGGCCCTCAAGGCGCTGATGACCCCAGCGTACGCCTCCAGCTCTGAAACACACACACAGGCAGGAACATATATATATATATAAATAAATATGAACATATTCTGTCAGTGCAGAATCACTGAGTACTTTTCCAGCAACAAACTTTTACTTCTACTTCAGTAATATTTGTATTGAAGTAGCAGGACTCTTGAGACTCCCTCTTCTCACCCTGAGTCAGTCTAAAGCAGATGTACAAAAGACTAAGGCCAAACTGAGCCAGACTGACCATGTCCTGCACTCACAGTTCATGAAGATGTCCTCTGGGAGGCGCTGTGTCGCCCCACAGCAAAAGACCAACCACTACACCAAATCTTTTCTTCTTCTGCCGTAAGGATTTAGGAAAGTGAATTAGTTCCTGTGTCCCTGATGCTCTGAGGTTTGAACGTCTAATGTCTGTCTTTCTTTTTCTTTATTATTTATATTTATATATTGTGTGTGACCAGAGATGTGCCAACTGAACTGCCCTTTGGGATTAATAAAGTTGTTGATTGATTGATTGATTGAGATATGTCAAACTCAGGCCTGGGGGCCAAATTTGGCCCATGATATAAATCGGCGTAGGTGGGTGTAGGTGGGTGTAGGTGGGTGTAGGTGGACGTAGGTGGGCGTAGGTGGATGTAGGTGGACGTAGGTGAGCGTAGGTGAGGTGTAGGTGGGTGTAGGTGGGGTGTAGGTGGTGGGTAGGGTGGGCGTAGGTGGGTGGGGTAGGTGGACGTAGGTGGGCGTAGGTGGGGGGTAGGTGGGTGTAGGTGGGTAGGTGTAGGTGTAGGTAGGTGGACGTAGGTGAGCGTAGGTGGGTGTAGGTGGGTGTAGGTGGGGTGGGTGTAGGTGGGCGTAGGTGGGGGGTGTAGGTGGGGTAGGTGGTGTAGGTGGCGTAGGTGGACGTAGGTGGTGTAGGTGGGTTGTAGGTGGGGTAGGTGGGCGTAGGTGGGGGTGTAGGTGGGGGTAGGTGGGGGGTAGGTGAGCGTAGGTGGGCGTAGGTGGGGTGTAGGTGGGTGTAGGTGGGTGTAGGTGGATGTAGGTGGTGTAGGTGGCGTAGTGGGTGAGGTGTAGGTGGGCGTAGGTGGATGTAGGTGGGTAGGTGGGTAGGTGGACGTAGGTGGGCGTAGGTGGGGGTAGGTGGGTGTAGGTGGTAGGTGGGGGGTAGGTGGGTGTAGGTGGATGTAGGTGGACGTAGGTGGGGTAGCGTAGGTGGGTGTAGGTGGGTGTAGGTGTAGGTGGGGTAGGTGGGCGTAGGTGGGGTAGGTGGTGGGTAGGTGGGGGTAGGTGGAGCGTAGGTGGGCGTAGGTGGTGTAGGTGGGTGTAGGTGGGGGGTAGGTGGATGTAGGTGGATGTAGGTGGACGTAGGTGAGCGTAGGTGGGCGTAGGTGGATGTAGGTGGGGGGGTAGGTGGGACGTAGGTGGGCGTAGGTGGGGTAGGTGGGTGTAGGTGGGGGGTAGGTGTAGCGTAGGTGGATGTAGGTGGGGTAGGTGGGGTAGGTGGGATGTAGGTGGGTGTAGGTGGGTGTAGGTGGATGTAGGTAGGGGCCGTAGGTGGCGTAGGTGGGTGTAGGTGGGCGTAGGTGGGTGTAGGTGTAGGTGGGTAGGTGGGCGTAGGTGGATGTAGGTGGGGGTAGGTGGGTGTAGGTGGATGTAGGTGGGCGTAGGTGGGCGTAGGTGGTGTAGGTGGGTGTAGGTGGGTGTAGGTGGGTGTAGGTGGGTGTAGGTGGGTGTAGGTGGGCGTAGGTGGGATGTAGGTGGGCGTAGGTGGGTGTAGGTGGGGTGTAGGTGGGTGTAGGTGGGTGTAGGTGGGTGTAGGTGGTGGGTGTAGGTGGGGTAGGTAGGAGGTGAGTGGGTAGGTAGGTGGGCGTAGGTGGATGTAGGTGGGGGGTAGGTGGGTAGTAGGTGGGTAGGTGTAGGTGGCGTAGGTGGGTGTAGGTGGGCGTAGGTGGGTGTAGGTGGGGGGTAGGTAGGTGGGTAGGTGGATGTAGTGGTGTAGGTGGTAGGTAGGTGGGGTGTAGTAGGTGGCGTAGGTGGGGTGTAGGTGGGGTGTAGGTGGATGTAGGTGGGTAGGTGGTGTAGGTGGTGTAGTGTAGGTGGTAGTAGGTGGCGTAGGTGGGGTGGGTGTAGGTGGGGGGTAGTGGGGTAGGTGGGCGTAGGTGGGTAGGTAGGTGGGTGGGTGTAGGTGGGTGTGTAGGTGGGCGTAGGTGGGTGTAGGTGGGTATGTAGGTGGGTGTAGGTGGGGTGTAGGTGGGTGTAGGTGGGTGTAGGTGGATGTAGGTGGGTGTAGGTGGGCGTAGGTGGGGTGTAGGTGGATGTAGGTGGGTGTAGGTGGGTGTAGGTGGGTGTAGGTGGGTGTAGGTGTCAGTCTTACCCAGTTTGCGGAGGATGCGTTTGCACTCGTCCCTGCCCAGGTCCAGGATGGTGGGCCACACCACAGGCATCGTCCCTGGAAACACAGGCTTCTCCAACTGGATCATGGACTGAAGAAACACAAAGATCACACACTGGGACTGGACTAAACCAGGACTAAACCAGGACTAAACCAGGTCTAAACCAGGACTAAACCAGGACTAAACCAGGACTCTAACCAACTAAACCAGGTCTCTAAACCAGGACTAAACCAGGTCTAAACCAGGTCTAAACCAGGACTAAACCAGGACTAAACCAGGTCTCTAAACCAGGACTACTAAACCAGGTCTAAACCAGGTCTAAACCAGGACTAAACCAGGTCTAAACTAGGTCTAAACCAGGACTAAACCAGGTCTAAAACCAGGACTAAACCAGGTCTAAACCAGGACTAAACCAGGTCTAAACCAGGTCTAAAACCAGGACTAAACCAGGACTAAACCAGGTCTAAACCAGGTCTAAACCAGGACTAAACCAGGTCTAAACCAGGTCTAAACCAGGTCTAAACCAGGACTAAACCAGGACTAAACCAGGTCTAAACCAGGACCTAAACCAGGACTAAACCAGGTCTAACCAGGACTAAACCAGGACTAAACCAGGACTAAACCAGGACTAAACCAGGACTAAACCAGGTCAGGAATAAACCAGGTCTAAACCAGGACTAAACCAGGACTAAACCAGGACTAAACCAGGACTAAACCAGGACTAAACCAGGTCTAAAACAGGACTAAACCAGGTCTAAACCAGGTCTGGACTAAACCAGGTCTAAACCAGGACTGAACCAGGTCTGTTTCTGGACTAAATCAGAGGATCAAACATTTCAATTTGTTTATCACGTCTGTATTTTTTATATTTTTCTCGGGTTTTTTGTTTTTGTTTTATTTAAATGAATTAAACCCGGTGAGTTTCAGTTTATCATTTTAAAATCTTCTCACTCTGATTAAACTGTTTATTTTCGTGCACAGACTCAGATAAACGCAGACTTTGATCGCGGTGGTAAAAGTTCAGTTTATTCGCGCAAAGAAACAAACTTTGATCTTTTATCAGACCGTTAGCACCGTTAGCACCGTTAGCACCGGACCTCTCACCGTTTGACGCTCACAGACTCTTTAAAGGCTCGGGGCGGGTCGTGGCGGCGCAGTCTGGGCGGACATGACGCTGTGTTTGCGCCGGACCGTGGCGCGCGCTGCGGGGAAAAGGAAAAAGCGCAAAAACCGCAGAAAAATGTCACAATGTTTATATGAAGAGCTAACGGAGGCTAACGGGGCTAGCGCCGCGGACCGGAGGTGACGTCAACACGGGGAGAGGGGCGCGCGCCTGCGGACCGGCGCCCCCTGGAGGCGGAGCCGAGGAACAGCACGAGCGTTTAAACACTTATGGAACTGTAGATCACGTGACGACGACCGAGGTTTATTACAACGAATACGTCAACACAGCCGCCATCTTGGTACAGGGTGACGCCGCTTCAAATGATGAGATTAGTCCTGGTTTAGTCCTGGTTTAGTCCTGGTTTAGTCCTGGTTTAGACCTGGTTTAGTCCTGTCCTGGTTTACCTGGTCCTGGTTTAGACCTGGTTTAGACCTGGTTTAGACCTGGTTTAGTCCTGGTTTAGTCCTGGTTTAGTCCCTGGTTTAGTCCTGGTTTTAGTCCTGGTTTAGTTACCTGGTTTAGTCCTGGTTTGGGTCCTGGTTTAGTCCTGGTTAGTCCTGGTTTAGTCCTGGTTAGTTCTAGTTTAGTCCGGTTGTAGTCCGGGTTTAGTGCCTGGTTTAGTCCTGATCCATGTTGTGTCAGGAGGGTGCTCGGTGCGTGCATAAATAATGAGGGGTGCAGGGTGTATAGGAATAGGGTGCAGGAAGGACAGGGGTGCAGTAGGTCACTGTGTTCCGTTGGTGTGGAGGGTGAGGGTGCTGAGGGTGTAGGTGGGTGCAGTGGGTGGTGTAGGGTGTAGGTGGGTAGGGGTGGAGGGTGCAGGAGGGTGCAGGAGGGTAGGGTGTAGGTGCAGGAGGGGTGTGCAGGAGGGTGTAGGAGGGTGAGGTGGGTGCAGGTGGGTGCAGGAGGGTGCTAGGAGGGTGTAGGTGGTGCAGGTGGGTGTAGGTGGGTGCAGGAGGGTGCAGGAGGGTGCAGGAGGGTGTAGGAGGGTGTAGTGTAGGGTGTGGGAGGGGGTGTAGGAGGGTGCAGTAGGGTGTAGGAGGGTGCAGGAGGGTCTTGTCTTAATGACTTGTATAAATACAAACTCTCGCTGTGTCCATGATGTGATCCATGATTATTGTTTCATCTGTTTTCATGTGGCTTTTATTCGGTGGTGAATCTCTGTTGACGACGCGTCGTCAGTTCATGTAAATGGTTTGAACTCGGCTCGTTCACCGTGAGAACTTTGGTTCCCAGTGGAACTGATGCAGGAACCGACACCTGCACCGAGAGGATTCAACAGTTCACTTCACACAAACGACTCAGAGGCTTTTGAAATGATCTGCCTCGTGTTGAAGTCAAGACGCACTAATCCAGACCAAGACCAGTCCCAGACCACAGGGTCCTGAGACCAGGACAAGAGCGAGACTTTTAAAGGTCAAGACCGAGACAAGACCAAGACCCACAGGCCCATCGAGACCAAATCGAGACCATCTTTGTCATTTCTGACATGTATTTGTATTTTACAGTTATTTCAGCACAAATATGTCATTGTTTTTATAAATTTATCTCCACTTTATCATTGGACGAGTGTCAGACCTCGAGACCGAGACAAGACCAAGTCCAGACTCCTTCAACACCGAGACGAGACCAAGTCCAGACTCCTTCAACACCGAGACGAGACCAGGTACTAGGACATGACATTTGCCTAAAATAAAGAAACAGTTGGTCACTATTTTCAAAAAAATGTGTTCTTCAAAATCCTCAATAGTTTCTTGTTTTGACACAATAATAAAAACAGAGTAAACGAGTCGTCTGTTTCCAGAGTCTCAGATGGTCCTGGTTCAGTTTCTCTTCAGGTTTAATTGACTCTGGTGTTTCCTGCTGCGTCCTGCAGGTGGAGCTGTGCTCAGACTTTTAAAGCAGAACATGAACAAACTCAAATAAAACTGTAATGTTCTAATGTTCCTGGTCACTCAGAGCTGGAGTCGTGTTTGTTTGAGTAAATTTTTATTCTGAGTCTTTTAAATCTACAAAACTCCAAACACTGCTCCACCTGGTGATGTCATGAAGTGGAAGTTTCCAAGTTCTCAGCTCCTTTTCTCTTTAGTTCAGTCGAGATCAGTGACTCCAGGACTGAAATGATCCAGTTGATCCTAGTGAAGGTGAAGTGTGGAGTTTAAAAACACATTGGAGCACTTCCTGTATCACCACATGATGACATCACGAGGTGGAGCAGAGTGTTTTCAGTTGAGAAATGAAGTGAGTCTAAATATTCAGATTTGTGACGAGGAAACGGGATTTGGGACATTTGTAACTGAGTATAATTCCAGTCATGTAATCGTGGAGTGAAATAAAATACCTGTTTAAAAAGTACTTTGAGTAATATTTTTCATTTGTACTTTTACTTGTAACTGAGTACATTTGAATCATGTATCTGTACGTTTACTTGAGTAAAACGTGCAGTACTTTGTCCTTCTGCTCTGGTTTTGGCAGCGCTGAAGAAATACTCAGGTGTGATACTCAAGTAAAAGTACAGGAACAGGAGCTAAAGTACTCGAGTAAAATAATATGGGTCTGAAATGAGGCTTTAACCAACGATTAATCGACTAATCGTGACGAGTCGACTGTAAAAACTCATAATTGTATGTTGTTGTGATTAAACTATAAAGTATTTAGAATAAAATATAATTTAATAAAATAGAATATAATAAAATAGAATAAAATAGAATACAATAAAATTGAATATAATAAAATAGATTATAATAAAATAAAATAGAATAGAATCAAATAAAATAGAGTGGAATAAAATAGAACAGAAAGTCTTTATTGTCATAAAACAGTTTAATAAAATTCAGATTTGCTCCGTCAAACTGCAAGAATTAATAATAAATAAAACAAATAAACATTTTGCACAGATTTTGAGATTCCAGATTCTAAAACAGAAACAAGTGAACCAAATATTTTTCGGTCTGTTTTTATTTTTTGTATTTTTGTGTTTCTCAAACTGAACGTGTTGAAATAAATCAACCTCAGCCGAAAATAAACATAAAAAAACCTTTACTTTTCCGTCCTGTTCCAAACTGAAGTGCAGTAGAAAGTAGAAGTACTCAAGTAAAAGTAAAAAGAATCTATTTTAGAATCGACTTAAGTAAAGTACAAACACAAACCTCCAGAGTGGGCGCGCGCTCCCGCTGGACTCTCCGCTTTTACGCGCGGGCCGTGAAGGCGGCACGGCGCGCGGTGGGCTTCCTCTTCACTTCGCGCACATCCGTGGAGTTTTTGGGGGGTGGGGGCATTTCCTTTTTCCCACCCCAGCCCCTCGGTGCGCCTCCGCCCGGGGCACAGACGCGAGCAGACGCCGAGGAGGATGCGCTCTGGGCGGACCTGACCCGCTCCGCGCCTCGGACCGTTTTTCCGCTTCCACGGCCGCGCGCGGACACCAGGGCCACGGGGCCACGGGGCCACGGGGGGGCGTGTGCGGCCGCTGTCCGGAGTCTGACGCACTTTTCCGGGGAGAGGATGTAGTGTCGTCGCGCTGTCGCTGCGGAAAAGTTGAGCTGGAGAGTTTGGAGCGCGGGGAGTTTTCTGACGCTGGTTCATGGCGCGCGGTCTGTGCGGAGCAGCGCGGCGGCCCACGGTCACGGGACACGCTTTTCTGTGAGTTTGACGCGGGAGTGGAGCGGGAGGACACGCGTGGAGCCGTGCGGGCCGCGGGAGGAGCCGTGCGGGCCGCGGGAGGAGCCGTGCGGGTCGTGGAGGAGCGTCATGGTTCGGGAGTAGAAGCTGCGCAGCGGCAGCGGCGGCGCCAATGAGCGGGACACACGCGACCCTCGCGGACAGGTACGACAACACGCACGCGCACGCACACACACACCGAGACTCGAAATGAGGCTGCGACCAACGATTAGTCGACTAATCGTGAGGAGTCGGCGGTAAAATCAGCCTCGATGATCGTGGTCGTTTGTCGTTGTGCAGGATGAACAAAAGTGTGAAACTCTGACACTGATCGATCTTTAAACTTTTACTCAAACTGGAGGATACTGAAAATACTCGAGTAAAAGTATCACACCAACAAATCTACTTCAGTAAAAGTATAAAAGTATCTGTTTAAAAACGTCTTTTGGACATGTGCAGATGTTCTGACGTGAAGAAATGTAAATCTAAAAGTAAAAGGAGCTGATAAAACCACCACGTCATGACATCACAAGGTGGAACAGAGCGTCTGGAGCGGTGGACATGACTCCGGTGACTCACAGGAGTTTGACTCTGTGTTTTTAGTGTCGACTGAAGGTTGATGTTGTGAGAAAAACTGAATCTCTTCTGTTCAAGTTTTGTTCTTTTAGAATCAAATCGAGACTCGAGTTTTAGTTTTGTGAAAACACAGACTCCAAAAACACAAGTTTACAAGTTTACAAGTTTTACAATTTTACAACTTTACAACTTTACAACTTTTTACAACTTTACAACTTTACAACTTTACAAATTTTACAACTTTTACAACTTTACAACTTTACAAATTTTACAACTTTTACAACTTTACAACTTTTACAACAAACACAGACACATCATGAAATAAAAAAAACTCATAAATTCGTAAATAATCTTTAAAAAAACACCAACTAAAGAAAAGCAGAAACGTTTAAATAAAGTTTCACTGCAGTTTGTTTCTCACTGAAACAGATTCAGACTCAAACACACACACACACACACACACACACACACACACACACACACACAAAACACACACACACACACACACACACACACACACATGATGAAGTCTGTTCACATCAGATCAGTTCGTCTGTGTCACTGCCTCGTTTATTTGTTGTTTATTGGTCTAAACCAGGTCTAAACCAGGACTAAACCAGGTCTAAACCAGGTCTAAACCAGGACTAAACCAGAACTAAACCAGGAACTAAACCAGGACTAAACCAGGTCTAAACCAGGTCTAAACCAGGACTAAACCAGGACTAAACCAGGACTAAACCAGGACTAAACCAGGTCTAAACCAGGTCTAAACCAGGTCTAAACCAGGACTAAACCAGGACTAAACCAGGTCTAAACCAGGACTAAACCAGGTCTAAATCCTGCTGTGTGGACGTGTTTCTTCGTCTTTTATCAATAATATTTTTAATTTGGTTCAGTAAAGTTTGGACTTTTTATTTTCTTTTATCAGATAAAACTT